CTTGCACCAGATTGGGGTTTTCTTGCACCAGATTGGGGTTTTCTTGCACCAGATTGGGGTTTTCTTGCACCAGATTGGTGTTTTCTTGCACCAGATTGGGGTTTATATGCACCAAAAGGGGTTTCCTTGCACCAGATTGGTGTTTTCTTGCACCAGATTGGGGTTTATATGCACCAAAAGGGGTTTTCTTGCACCAGATTGGGGTTTTCTTGCACCAGATTGGGGTTGATATGCACCAAAAGGGGTTTTCTTGCACCAGATTGGGGTTTATATGCACCAAAAGGGGTTTTCTTGCACCAGATTGGGGTTTTCTTGCACCAGATTGGGGTTTTCTTGCACCAGATTGGGGTTTTCTTGCACCAGATTGGGGTTTTCTTGCACCAGATTGGGGTTTATATGCACCAAAAGGGGTTTCCTTGCACCAGATTGGTGTTTTCTTGCACCAGATTGGGGTTTATATGCACCAAAAGGGGTTTTCTTGCACCAGATTGGGGTTTTCTTGCACCAGATTGGGGTTGATATGCACCAAAAGGGGTTTTCTTGCACCAGATTGGGGTTTATATGCACCAAAAGGGGTTTTCTTGCACCAGATTGGGGTTTTCTTGCACCAGATTGGGGTTTTCTTGCACCAGATTGGGGTTTTCTTGCACCAGATTGGGGTTGATATGCACCAAAAGGGGTTTTCTTGCACCAGATTGGGGTTTATATGCACCAAAAGGGGTTTCCTTGCACCAGATTGGTGTTTTCTTGCACCAGATTGGGGTTTATATGCACCAAAAGGGGTTTTCTTGCACCAGATTGGGGTTTTCTTGCACCAGATTGGGGTTTTCTTGCACCAGATTGGGGTTTTCTTGCACCAGATTGGGGTTTATATGCACCAAAAGGGGTTTCCTTGCACCAGATTGGTGTTTTCTTGCACCAGATTGGGGTTTATATGCACCAAAAGGGTTTTCTTGCACCAGATTGGGGTTTTCTTGCACCAGATTGGGGTTGATATGCACCAAAAGGGGTTTTCTTGCACCAGATTGGGGTTTATATGCACCAAAAGGGGTTTTCTTGCACCAGATTGGGGTTTTCTTGCACCAGATTGGGGTTTTCTTGCACCAGATTGGGGTTTTCTTGCACCAGATTGGGGTTTTCTTGCACCAGATTGGTGTTTTCTTGCACCAGATTGGGGTTTATATGCACCAAAAGGGGTTTCCTTGCACCAGATTGGTGTTTTCTTGCACCAGATTGGGGTTTATATGCACCAAAAGGGGTTTTCTTGCACCAGATTGGGGTTTTCTTGCACCAGATTGGGGTTTATATGCACCAAAAGGGGTTTTCTTGCACCAGATTGGGGTTTTCTTGCACCAGATTGGGGTTTTCTTGCACCAGATTGGGGTTTTCTTGCACCAGATTGGGGTTGATATGCACCAAAAGGGGTTTTCTTGCACCAGATTGGGGTTTATATGCACCAAAAGGGGTTTCCTTGCACCAGATTGGTGTTTTCTTGCACCAGATTGGGGTTTATATGCACCAAAAGGGGTTTTCTTGCACCAGATTGGGGTTTTCTTGCACCAGATTGGGGTTGATATGCACCAAAAGGGGTTTTCTTGCACCAGATTGGGGTTTATATGCACCAAAAGGGGTTTCCTTGCACCAGATTGGTGTTTTCTTGCACCAGATTGGGGTTTTCTTGCACCAGATTGGGGTTTCCTTGCACCAGATTGGTGTTTTCTTGCACCAGATTGGGGTTTATATGCACCAAAAGGGGGTTTCCTTGCACCAGATTGGTGTTTTCTTGCACCAGATTGGGGTTTATATGCACCAAAAGGGGTTTTCTTGCACCAGATTGGGGTTTTCTTGCACCAGATTGGGGTTGATATGCACCAAAAGGGGTTTTCTTGCACCAGATTGGGGTTTATATGCACCAAAAAGGGGTTTTCTTGCACCAGATTGGGGTTTTCTTGCACCAGATTGGGGTTTTCTTGCACCAGATTGGGGTTTTCTTGCACCAGATTGGGGTTTTCTTGCACCAGATTGGGGTTTATATGCACCAAAAGGGGTTTCCTTGCACCAGATTGGTGTTTTCTTGCACCAGATTGGGGTTTATATGCACCAAAAGGGGGTTTCCTTGCACCAGATTGGTGTTTTCTTGCACCAGATTGGGGTTTATATGCACCAAAAGGGGTTTTCTTGCACCAGATTGGGGTTTTCTTGCACCAGATTGGGGTTTTCTTGCACCAGATTGGGGTTTTCTTGCACCAGATTGGGGTTTATATGCACCAAAAGGGGTTTCCTTGCACCAGATTGGTGTTTTCTTGCACCAGATTGGGGTTTATATGCACCAAAAGGGGTTTTCTTGCACCAGATTGGGGTTTATATGCACCAAATGGGGTTTTCTTTGCACCAGATTGGGGTTTATATGCACCAAATGGGGTTTTCTTGCACCAGATTGGGGTTTATATGCACCAAATGGGGTTTTCTTGCACCAGATTGGGGTTTATATGCACCAAATGGGGTTTTCTTGCACCAGATTGGGGTTTATATGCACCAAATGGGGTTTTCTTGCACCAGATTGGGGTTTATATGCACCAAATGGGGTTTTCTTGCACCAGATTGGGCCAGATTGGGGTTTTCTTGCACGTTTGGTGTAATGAATGTTTCGCACGGAGAATGTTTCGTTGCCTGCCTCTTCGTATTTACCATTTTAAAGGAACAATTAAGTGTCGTTGGTTCTGGACTGTTAGCGGGGGGAGATTTATTTTTCACCAATAGGTGTAGCTTTAAATCGAAAACTATAAAAAGGTAATTTTACAACTACAAAATTATGCAAAAATTCCAAACCTGAAAATTCCATTCAAATGAAATCTGTACAGGGTGCGTCAAAAAAAAAGAATGAAGTTTGCGCTGAAATATCTCTCGAACGGAAACGAATCGGACCATGGTTACCTTGCCAGAATGCTTAAATATGCTGGGTATGAAGAATAAACACAAGTTGTTTTTTATGATTTTTGGCGACCCCCTACTCGTTAAGAAGTTTTGAACATTTTTGAAAAAGTAGAAAACCTTGAAGAGGAAATTAATGGAACTTTGAATGAATTAGCGGGCTATGAAGGGTATCAAAATGAAGCTTTCCGAATGCGCCACTAAAATAGTGGTAAAGATTGTCATTCGGATTAACTAGCCGTCAATAGGAGCATTCAGAATATCCGGCCTTTTCCAGAAGGGCCGATTCCGAGTTAACCATAGAAAGCACATGGCCGCCGTCACTTTTTGTATTTGTTAGATGTAATCCTGTTTGCCAAAGATAACCATATTAAAAATTTAACTATGAGAGCCTAGAACTTACAAATTCCGCCGACTTGGCAAAATGCCAAAAAATTTTTTGATAGGGGTTTTAAAAATCTTAATGGCAAAAGTTAGTAGCTAACTATATCTATTGGTAAATGCAAAATATCAGAAAGATCGAATGGTAAAGAAATTAGATCTGGAATTATTTCGGCAAAAAGTGCCGATTTTCCGAACGTTCCTTTTTACAGCTAGTTAAACCGTTCTATATTCTTTACCACCGGTTTGATAGCGCATTGCAAGAGCTTCATTTTGATATCCTACATGCGCCCCTAGCGCATCAAAAGTTCCATTATTTTCTTCTTCAAAGTTTTCTACTTTTTCAAAAATGTTCAAAAATTCTTAACGAGTAGGGGGTCGTCAAAAATCATAAAAAACAACTTGTGTTTATTCTTCATACCCAGCATATTTAAGCATTCTGGCAAGGTAACGATGGTCTGTTTCGTTTGCGTTCAAGAGATATTTCAGCGCAAACTAGGGGCTTTTTTTCTGGCCTACCCTGTACTGTATCCTGGCCACGCCCAATTCCAGGATGGGCACCTATCGGTAATTTTTAGGTACCTAATCCTGGTAACGCTATAAAAAAACCTATCCTCAGTTTTAAAAATCAAAAAAGCAAGTCGATTATTTAAAAAAATATGTTCAAAAAATTCGGGGATTATGGCGGGTTTTCCACATTTACTGGGCCCTCCATTGGATTGTTGAAAATAAATTTCCTCCTATTAAAGCAAGCCGTGTAGTTTTTGTGAGGTCGAAAATTTTTGTGTAGTTTGTAGCGCGGGTTTCAAAGATTGTATCTTGTAGTCTGGATGCCAGTTTAGACATTCATAACAAAAACCCGGCGGCCCCTATTCCGTTTGGCTACTGTATCCAGTCACTCAAGATTAGCCGGCGGTACCCCCGGGGCAAAACAGATGCATATCTCGAGAGATGGCCCCAAATATTTGCCCTGATTTCTCTCGACTTACAAGGAGGCGTATTTAGGTGCTTTTGGAGTTTCGGGACCGGACCCAGCTAGTTCGATAGAGAAAAAAATTCTGAGCAACATCCCGTTTTCAAAAAGTGCTGATCGATAAAGGTGTTTTAGAAAATTGATTTAATTAAAACTGTTCCCGGTATCCGGATCCTTGTGGTGATTTGAGGTGATTTGCGACTAGGCCACTTCGCCATGCCCAGGACGAAATTTCTATTTTATCGAAATTCTGAGAACGGCATCAAAAAGAGGACGGTCGATTCCCCCAATCAAGGGACACCCAAGGTTTTGGTGGCAAATATATAGTTATGTATTCCGGGAAGTACAAATGACGCGGGAATTTTGTGTGGCAATGAGGCGCCAGTGCCGCACAGAATTCGGGCACCTTTCCCTCTTGCGGCGTCCCCATCCCACCCAATGGCTTGCCACTTTGGCCTAATGCATAGCATCCTGGCCTACAAAACGGGGGTCCCGGGTTCGACCCCCGCCCGCGGCATAGTTTTTGCTTTTTGAGCCCCGGAAAGGTTGGGCATCCCTTTAACGGAGAATTAGGGCATTTTGGACACGGGAAGGCCCTCAATTTTGGCCTCGAAAGTGACATCCACACACACGATATTTCAGAATGCATCAATTTGCATATGTGGCTAATAGTATTTGCTGTGTTTTCCAGCCCAGTCACTCTAGATCGAGCACGATGCAGGTGGGTTTGCTTGGTGGCTAGAATTTTGATCTGAGTTGAATTTAGAGTTACAAGAACTCCGCCGAGGCTATCGAAGCTGCGAAGACAGGTGTTGCCGAAGGACCGCTTCAAAGCACCTCGATCGACTCTGGCAATCCGACAAATACCGGCAAGGTGATCACCATTTCATTGAATCAAAATGATCTCTATTTATTATCGGTAATTCATCATGAATTTAGAACTACAAGAACTCGGCCGAAGCCATCGAAGCTTCAAAGCCAAGTGTTCCGGAACGACTGCAGCAACAGTCGTCGAGTGACTGTGGCAATACCAGCGTTTCGCAGGTGATCACCATTTCATTGAATCAAAATGATCTCTATTTATTATCGGTAATTCATCATGAATGTAGGGCTTCAAACCCTCGGCGGAGGCTACGGACGTGGCAAAGAAGGGTGCTACCGAAGGACCTCAGCGAGACTCGTCTGCTGACTTCGGCAATCCCAGCGTTGCGAAGGTGATCACCATTTCATCGGATCAAAATTAATTATATTTATTATCGGTAATTCATCATGAATTTAGGGCTTCAAACCGTCGAGTGAAGCAACGGAGGTGGTGAAGACTAGTGCGACTGAAGCGCCGCAGCAAAACGATTCCGATGAATGTGGCAAATCCAACACATCGAAGGTGATCACCATTTCATCGGATCAAAATTAATTATATTTATTATCGGTAATTCATCATGAATTTAGAGCTACAAACCTTCGGCGGAGGCTACGGACGTGGCAAAGAAGTCCGCTCGATCCTGGCGCACTTGTTCATGGATTTTGCGGTTGATCTACCAGCTGATCTGACGCCCCTGTCGCGCGAGGAGAAGCGCCTAAAGACGACCCTATCAATGCTCCTGAAAAACGCCGAAGAAAAACGTTTGCTCATGGAGGAGGATGACGTGCATGCTCTGGAGGAAGAGGAGGCCGAACGGGATCACCATGAAGCTGCGAAGACAGGTGTTGCCGAAGGACCGCAGCAAGGCACATCGAGTGACTTTGGAAATTCGGATACCTTGAAGGTGATCACCATTTCATTGAATCAAAATGATCTCTATTTATTATCGGTAATTCATCATGAATTTAGGGCTTCAAACCCTCGACTGAAGCAACGGATGTGGCGAAGAAAAGTGCGACTGGAGGGCCGCAGCAAGACGATTCCGATGAATCTGGCAAATCCAACACATCGAAGGTGATCACCATTTCATTGAATCTAAATGATCTCTATTTATTATCGATAATTCATCATGAATTTAGACGTTCAAGAACTCGGCCGAGTCGACGAACGTGGAAAGGAAGGGCACTAACGAAGGACCACAACAAGACTCGTCTGCTCACTGCCGCAATTCCAATGTTTCGCAGGTGATCACCATTTCATTGAATCAAAATGTTCTCTATTTATTATCGGTAATTCATCATGAATTTAGAGCTACAAACCGTCGGCGGAAGCAACGGAGGTGCCGAAGAATAGTGCGAATGGAGGGCCGCAGCAAGATTCCGATGACTGCGTCAAAACGACTACCACGCAGGTGATCACCATTTCACTGAATCAAAATTATCTCTATTTATTATCGGTAATTCATCATGAATTTAGAGCCTGAAGAACTCGGCCGAAGCCATCGAAGCTTCGAAGCCAAATGTTGCCGAAGCACCGCATCAAAGCACCTCGATCGACTCTGGCAATCCGACAAATACCGCCAAGGTGATCACCATTTCATTGAATCAAAATGATCTCTATTTATTATCGGTAATTCATCCTGAATTTAGAGCTACAAACCGTCGGCGGAAGCTACGGACGTGGCAAAGAAGGGTGCTACCGAAGGACCTCAGCGAGACTCGTCTGCTGACTTCGGCAATTCCAGCGTTGCGAAGGTGATCACCATTTCATTGAATCTAAATTAATTATATTTATTATCGGTAATTCATCATGAATTCACAGGGTGTCCCAAAAAAAAGGGTCCAAGTTTGTCCCCAATTATCTCGAGAAGGAAAGATATTTCACCGTGCGTTACCATGCCAGAATGCTTAAATATGTCAGGAATAGGGAAATAACTCGACTTGATTTTTTTGGATTTTTGAGTACGCAACTGTACTATTGACGCTGGTTACGACCGAAAATTGTGCGTTCTTGAATGGGTTTTTTTGTTAAAAATTGACCCCTGTTGCAGATATCTGCCGAATCGTCTAAATCCGTCTCCGGCTCGTCGTCGTCGAAGAAGATGCGCAAGAAGAAAAGAAGAAAAAGGGTTCGGCGCCGGCTACGACTTCTTCGGCCTCTACGACGGTCGAACTTTCGACGTCGACGGAAATTAACAATATTAACGGATGTAAAAAATAAATTGTTTTGTATTGATTTCATAGCCTGCGCTTAATGATTAAATACATTTCAAAAAAACATTGCACAACTTCTTTTTTAACCTCTTCTTCTTATTCAATTAAAGACGGGTTTTTCAGTACTTACGCTAAAATGGGCGGGTTCAGGAAAGGATTAGCCTATAGCCATATCCCCTTGACCTGTGAGACCTTCAAATTCATTCCTTCCATCCGCTTTACCGTCTCTTCCCCCGTCAAATGTCTTCCCCCAACTAACTCTACGAATACAGCCCCGTTCATACTGTAGAGGAATTCCTCACTGCTGCTGGCGAAATGCCTTGGCTATACTTGAGACGCTGCATTGTTGATGAGATTTTTCCGAGCAGAATCATATATGCTAACCGTCTACCAGGCCTAATTAGGGACCAGCACATATTCCGCAAAGTAGCGCAGCCCCCTGGAGTGTCCCCGTGGTATGAGTCTGAACATATGGTGCCCTTACTATGGTTTATGCCAAAAAACCCTAAAATCAAAGGGGAAGTCATCTTTGTGGTATCAGCACCTTACATACCACAACATTCCATGCCTAATCTCGCTGCAGCTTCGACTCCATATTCCGCTTTCAAATCGGTTGAATCTTCACCGTCTCTGACTCAGCACAAGTCGTGAGTTTTTCACAAAATTGTATAGAAAGAAATGAAAAAAAAACCAATTTGATAATTGATATTTCTTTTTAGGGGGCAAAATTCTGCTGAAAAGCCAAAAGATGAGAGTATTCAAGGTGAGGTTTTACCCCTAAATTAGTATATTATTAATTAATTAAACTATTTGCTGTTTTTCCAGATGATGATATGCCAACCATGCCAAGTGAATAATGATGAACGACTCGATGCTCTCTCTCTCACTCATCAAACAACAATACGGACCAATCTATTCGATTAATTTATCTCGACAATGAATAAATTCTCTCTTTCTCTCTCTCTGTCTGTCTGTCTGTCGGCACCCTTCAAAGGCCCATTGGTAACATTTTGCTTACTAGATATACAGGGTGTCCCAAAAAAAACGACCCATCTGGCATTTCGCCGTGTTACATCCAACCGGCCCCAAATTTGGACCATAGGTGTATCAGACCTTAAATAACAACAATCCTGACTTACAGCTCCATAGCTACAGTAGTTTTAAAGTTATAACGAAAATACTGTTTTTCCCGGAATTCTGAACTGTTTTATCGGCTATCTTTTTGGACTTTGCATCGATTTGCATCGACTTCCGGCTGCGAATCCCTAATTTCGCTTAAGAACTGGGGTAGTTTTGCGTTGTAAAAATCGCCTAAATCGCAGCTTATTTAACTAATTTTACTCTGGAAAAAATTTCTTACGGTAAAGAAGGCCTACCGGATCATTTTCACTTAATGTTTAGGGGGTCTAATTCCACGAAAATGCTATAAAAAATGGAAAATAAAGTTTGTTTTTGCTATAACTCGAGAACGACTGTAGCTACCGGGCTATAAGTCAGGATTGTTGTTATTTAGGGTCTGATACACCTCTGGTCCAAATTTGGGTCCGATTCAATGTAACACGGCGAAATGCCAGATGGGTCGTTTTTTTTGGGACACCCTGTATTTCGCTTACTCGATATATTCTGCTTACTTGCATATAACCTAGTTTCGAAACCCTCGGATTCCTGCCGGTCCCCCATGAGCTCTCCCCAATCTGGTGCAAGAAAACCCCAATCTGGTGCAAGAAAACCCCAATCTGGTGCAAGAAAACTGCAATCTGGTGCAAGAAAACCCTTTTTGGTGCAAGAAAACCCTTTTTGGTGCAAGAAAACCCCAATCTGGTGCAAGAAAACCCTTTTTGGTGCAAGAAAACCCCAATCTGGTGCAAGAAAACCCTTTTTGGTGCAAGAAAACCCCAATCTGGTGCAAGAAAACCCCTTTTGGTGCAAGAAATTTGGTGCGTATAAACCCCAGCCTTGTGCAAGATAACCCCTTTTGGTGCGTATAAACCCCAATCTGGGGGGAGCCCCAACCCCAAGCTGGTGCAAGAAAACCCCGATCTGGTGCAAGAAAACCCCAATCTGGTGCAAGAAAACCCCAATCTGGTGCAAGAAAACCCCTTTTGGTGCAAGAAAACCCCTTTTGGTGCAAGAAAACCCCTTTTGGTGCAAGAAAACCCCTTTTGGTGCAAGAAAACCCCTTTTGGTGCAAGAAAACCCTTTTTGGTGCAAGAAAACCCCTTTCTGTACAATACAAAAACGAAAAATCGTCAAAAAAATTTTCCATGGGAATCGGGTTGGCATTCGCTGATTTAATTTTTTAATTTTCTGATGTTACAAGGAGCTTGTTCAGTGTCGTTGGGGTTTCAATCAATACGAGAAATCTTTGTATTAGATTCATGTTTCATAAAACCACTAAAATTCGAAATTTTCTTTTCCGCCAATGTAGACCATCTCATCGAAAACTATAAAAAGGTAATTTAAAACTTAAAAATCATCCAAAAAAAGTCCATTCAAATAAAAGCATGTAGTTCCCTTTGCCACAAGGTTCGAAATTTCATGTCGTAATTAGTAATCCAATAAATGATTTTCGGGGCGTAATCGAATGCGCAATTTTTTTTGTTGCGTATTTTCTCAGTGAAGAAATTAGATGTTTCTCTGTTCAAATTGGTCGCGCCTGTTTGGAATTATCGCAATAAGGCGTCACGTTTCTAGCGAAAATTCGAAAACGAAAACCAGAAATTTGGAATGTTGCTAGAAAATGTTTCGAAAAATTTCCAAGGGTTGAGCCTTTTTGCGGAGGTAGTTTAGAGATTCCTTGATTTCAAATCCTTTCAAATTTTAGAGTTCAAAGTTAGATTTCAAAGATTTTTTGAAAAGTTTCTAGCCGTCAAACACTTCTAAAAATATTATAAAAATACATAATAGCCCAGAACCCTCTAATTGAATTTGGACATTTCAAAAAAATTCCAAGTTTCGGCAGTATGTGGCTGCTCTATTTAATAAGCCAATACAACTAAGGGAAAACTATATAAAAACACATGCAAAAATAATTCTTAAAAATGTGTTTTTCAACAAATCTACAGGCGCCGCAATTTTTTTGTACTAATCAGCAACCAAGTAAAGAGGGGTTTTGAGAGCGTCAACGATTCTGTTCATCTTTTAATGGCGTAACCGGTTGAGCCGAATCCCGGATTTCGTCGCGTAATTGAGTAAATAATTTTTCGAATCGTAATGGGTTAAATCCAGCGTTTTAACCTGTTTTTCGTGCCGTAATCGGTTCTCTGAATTTTCGAACCGTTTTTATGTCGTAATCGATCAGCTCAGCCTTTCCACCCATTTTTCACGTCGTAATCGATTAAACCGAGTACAATTTATTCCTCTGAGCGGGAGCCATTTAATTGGGGAGCACCAGGTCGAGGAGAAGGAGCATGAGGATGAGGCGGAGGAGTGGTTCACAAACACAAAAAACGCACGCACACAAATGGAATTTGCACATAAAAAGAAAGAATAGAACAGAAGGGGAGGAGAGGGCGAGAGAAAATTGTCGTTTGTAGTTTGTAGGCTTCTTCTTCTTCTTTTCCGGCTACTCGTCGACCACCTTCTTCCACACGCCGTTCACCTGGATGCGCTGAAAAAAAGGAGAAATTTCGGGGTGTGGCCGAGTGGCTAAGAGGTTAGCCTGTCAAACTGGGGGTCCGGGTTCGAATCCTGGGCGCGCCAAACCTTTTGCTTTTTAGATTTTTAAAATGAGAATTGCTAAGCTGGCAGCCAGACTACAAGCCAGAATGTTTAAAACTCGGCTACAGACTACAAAAAGCTACAAGCCGAACTACCCAGGTTCGAATCCTCCTTGCGCCCAACTTTTTGCTTTTTGAAGTTTACGTAAATTTTTGCAATCGGATGGTCAAAATGGTAGCCAGGCTACAAACTACAACCTCCCCCACTCACCGTCGGCTCATAATTGGGGCAGTCGATGACCATGTGGAGTCCCTTGAACGCCTTGTCGTCGGGGTTGGCGAACCAACGGCGGCTCACATCAATGTTCACCCGCACGCCACGCTTGTGCTTCTTCCGCTCGATCGACTGAAAAAAAGAGAAAAATTGTTCAAAAAGCCTTGAAAAAGCAAAAAGCAACAATTTTTGGCGCCGCCAGGATTCGAACCCGCGTGGTTTTTTTGTGGTCTGTGGTCTTGTTCTAAGGGTTGTAGTTTGTAATCTGTCTGCCAGTTAAGCTATTCCGATCGGAAAATTCTAAACTTTCAAAACGCAAAAAATTTTGGAGCGGCCCGGATTCGAACCCGGGTGGTTAGCCTAGTGGCGTTTTTGTAGTTTGTAGTATCGTATTATGGTTTGTAGCCTGTTGTATGCTTGGCAGTTAAGCTATGCCAATGCAAAAAATTGACCAAAAATTCAAAAAGTAAAAAATTATGGCGCCGCCGGGATTCGAACCCGGATGGTTAACCTGGTAGGACTTTTGTAGTTTATAGCCTGGATCTAGCGATTGGAGTTTGTAGACTCCTTGACAGCTTAGCAAGTCCCGAGAAAATCAGACTAGCTACAAACTAAAAAGAATTATACGGTTGCGAAACTTTTCCGATATTGGAAGTTTCCGAAACGTTCCTCTTGCCGTCATGGGATACTGTAGAGGGTTTAAGTGTGATTTTTGGTGAAACTGGATGCCAGTGTAGCCATTAAAGCACAAAACACCCACATGGCGGACCTCGTGCGACGAGCCGGGCGGCTTCTGGGGGATCGTCTCGACGGGGGGCAACGGGGGCACGTATTCCTTCTCCGGGTCGTCGGGCACCACCGGGATCGATGTCTCTGACTTCAGGCTGCAAATGAGGGAATATTCGAAAATTTTTTGGTCGTTTCCTCAAGAATCCATGCTAGCCTGCCCCTTCCTAGGCTCGGCTAGTGTCACCCTCCCTTTAAAGCCCCTTTAAAACGTCTCTTAAGCAGGGAATGGCTAAACTGGCAGTCAGACTACAGAATACAACCGCAAAACCCTAGCTACAGCACCCCTGGCGTCAATAGGTGCAATTCGGAAAAGTGCCAAAAGACGATTTGCTGATCCAATCGATCGATAAATGCTCTATTTTTCGTAGTTTGTAGCTAGAACTCAAATTCTTTCGGGAAGCGCTAAACTGGCAGCCAGATCACGCAGTCCGATCCTCAAATGGTCCCTGCTAGCCTGCCCTGCCGCACCTCTTCTCCTTTTCCTTCTCCTTCTCCTCGGCGCCGCCATCTTCTTGCGTCGCCTCGACGTCGACGGGGGCCGCGGCTTTCTTGCCCTTCTTCGGGCTTTTCGGGCTTTTCGGGCTTTTCGCAGTGGCGCTGAAAGATGCGCGTGGCCTAGCTGCTGTCACTGTCCCTTTAAAATAGCAAAAAAAAGGCTCAATCCGTGGTGGCTCGTGCCTTCAACGGCCCTTTAAAAAACAGCGATTCAATTTTAAAGGTCCTCCCAAGGTAAACTGGTTAGCAGCCAACATTTTGGAATTTCGAAAATGATCACTGCTAGCTTGCCGCATGAGAAAATCCTTTTGAAGGGGTCATGAAGGAAAACCAAAAAATTCCGTGCGTACCGCTTCGACTTGGGCTTGTTGTTGTTGTTGGTGGTGGTGTTGTTGCTGCTCGTGGTCGACGCCGTGCTGCTGCTGCTGCTGTCCATGTTGTTGTTGTTGTTCGTCTCCTCCGCCAGCGACATCTTCTGCGTGGCCGACATCAGCGACATCTGGAGCGAAATTTTTGTCCGGTTTAGACTTAGAGCTTCAATTGTTTTTGTAATGGCTTAACTGGCAAGCAGGCTACAGACTACAATTTCCGGAGCTGGGCTACAAACTACAAAAACCCTACTAGGCTATCGATCCGGATTCGACCCCCGCCGGCGCCGAACTTTTTGCTTTTTGAATTTTTAGAAAATTTCTCTATTTCAAACGCTAAACTGACATCCAAACTACAAACTCCAACCATTAGAACAAGCTAAAAACCACAAAAACGCTACTCGGCGAGTCTCTCGGGTTCGACCCCCGGCCGCGGCAAAACTTTTTGCTTTTGGAATTTCTTGCCAATTTTTTGATGGGGATCACTACACTAGCAGCCAGACTACAAACTACAGTCACTAACTCCAGGCTACAGACTACAACAACTAGCTCAAAAGCTACCTGCGACGACGGCGGGGTGGACATCAACGAGCGCGGCGTGGGCGTCGACTTTGACGACTTGGTCGAGGTCGAATTCGAGGAACGCGTTGAGCCGCCCTTCTTCTTCTTCTTCTTCGCCTTCCCGCCGAGAGGGGAAGGCATCAGGCTGCGCGTCGGCGGCGTCGAGATCGACGAGGCCGGCGTCTGCAAGGAGGGCCGGTTAGCAGAGGCCATTTCGGAATCCGAATCGCTAGTCTGGGGGTCAGTTTAGTGATTCCCAAAAGAATTAGAGTTATAGCTACAAACTACAAAAAATTAGAGCCTTGCCGAAAATTCCGCAAAAAACCCCAATTTTCCAATTTTCCGCTACTTTCCCTAAGTACGTAACGGAGTACGGTAGTTGCATTTCGTAGCCTGGCTGTCAGTTAAGGTATCCCAGCCAAGAAACCGACCCTAGAATTGAGGGTGCACCGCGTGGTGGGCGAGTAGGCGGACGCCTTGGCGGGGCCGAGCACCAGATCACGATCCGGGCCCAGCTCGCCCTCGTAGACCAGCAATTCTGAAGAGGTGATATGTCGAATGGGTAAATTGGCAGGCAGGTGACCGGATTCGAGCTTGGAAAAATTTCTATGGGGCATGCTGGCAGAGGAAATTTGCGGATATCGAAACCGACCCATGCAGCTGAGATTGCCGGCCGTCTCCTCGACGCGAATCTTGTTGCCGGCGGTGCCGAGGCCGTCGAGCACCTGGGCAAATGAGCAGGGATTATTTGGGAATTTCGTCATGATCTACCTTCTCCATATGGCGAAACTCGTGACGCAGGACGCGACGCACCAGCCGCTGTGTCGACGGCAGACCGCCGCTGCAACGATTCGTCGGCAGCTCGTCCGGCGATTGGCAGCCTGGCAAAGATCATTTAGGAAGCGAGAATCGATAAAGTGGCTGCCAGTTTAACGACTGGAAAGCTAGCAGAGAGAATTTGATCGCGTAATCGACTAGAAACCGCTAAGTTCGACAATTGTTCCGGAAATTCCTAGCGTAATCGATTCGGGAGCGCCGGTAAGCTAGCAAGCACCATTTAGGAAGTCGAAATGGCCAAACTGGCAGCCAGTTCATAAAATGGGAAGCTAGCAGAGAGCGTTTGACAATTTTAAAGGGAGCGAGACAGCTAGAAAGACCTAATTTCCATGCGTAATCGGTTAAAAAGGCAAGCTAGCAGGGATTCTTTGCGGAAAAACGGCTTACCTTCCTTGGGCAACCGCAGGCGAGGCATCGCTGGGTAAAATGAGCGCGATTTCAGCACGAACGCGGGCCAATCCGGGGCCGGAAGTGATTTTCGCCTGAAAATGCAAATTTTGGCCGCGAAAAATCCGATTACGCCATGAAATTTTAAGGCCAAAATTTGCATCTTTTTCTTTGCATATTTAGAAGTCCCAAAAAAGTTTTGAACCCAAGAATTGGGCATTACTAACCTTGTTTCTACTCGTTTTCCGTTTCTCCGCTCGATGCTACTCGCTCGCTTAACAAAAAGTATCAAGTTTTGCGTTAGAAATTCATTTTTATCATTTTCCAGACAACTTTCATCGCTTTCTGTCGACCACCACGCTTAAACGCAACCAGCAAGTGGGGTTTGAGCTTATTTTAGACTTTTTATTGCATTTTAGCTTTTGGACAATCGAAAAACAGCAATTTCTGCTTTTGAACGAGTTTTTGGAGCTATTGTTGGGTTGTAAAAATGTATAAAGCGTTATGAAGCTGCCAACTGACCGCAATTTAGGCCAATAGTTCATTTTCTAACTTCTAGAGTGTTTTAATAATTTTTAAAACTCTATTTTGAGGAAATTTTCCCGTTTTTTACAAATTTTCGATTTGAAGAAGGCTAAAATCGTTCTAAATGTCGAATGACTTCTTGATTGAAAGAAACTGTATTTTTTCTAGTTTTTAAATAGTTCAAATCGTTAAAATCTGGTTTTTCCAGTTCCCGGCCGAGCTGATCGACCCATGCTGCGATCCAGCGAAGCCGATTGTCGTCGGGATGAGCCAGATCACCGAGGCCGCCTATGGCATTAGGGTCCGTTTTTCTAATTGATAAAGCTGTTAATGCCTAAATATAGCAATGATATTTCTCGAAAAATCTGAGCTTTTTTTCTAGGCGAAACTCTTTTTTTATCGCTGAAGTTCAGGGCGCGGTGGAGAAGACGCTGTGCCGGTACTCACGCGCCCTCTCCCACGCCACCGGAATCGAGGTCTATCTCAAGATGGAGCAGACCCAGGTTATTTTATTGTTTTTAACTATTTTTTTTTTTATTTTCAGACGACGGGCAGCTTCAAGGAGCGCGGCGCCCGCTGGGCCCTCATGAATTTGACGGCCGACGAGAAGAAAAAGGGGGTCAGTGGCTTTTTTAAGTATTTTTAACCAAATAAAAAGGATAGAGCTTATCAAAATATCAAAAACGATATTTTACAACGTTTAACAAACCGAAAATGACCTTAAAATTCGTTTTTAGACCTCAAGAAATCTAGATTTCTTCGAAAAATTTGGTTTTTAAAGTTTTACCGCTGCGTTTTGAGCCTGATTTTTTGTTTAGAAAGTGAAAAAGTAAATTTTGCAGGTGTTAGAAGCGAAAACGAGCTTCAAATAGCCTTTACACGTTTGAAAAAGCTAGTTTTTTGCTGGAAATTCGTCTTTTTCTTTTTTCAAGGTTTTAAAAAGCGTTTTTAGCTCGAAAAATCGGATAAAAGCTATTTTAAATTTTTTTAAATTTTGAACAGCTTTAGGAAAATGTAGAAAACTATTTTTTAGGTCTACGCCGCCTCGGCCGGCAACCACGCGCAGGCGCTGTGCATCCACGGCAACAAACTCGGCATCCCAATTACTGTACGCTTTTTCTAGGCTATTTTTCGGTATACCGTTGTGAGCTGCAGGCCTGTAAAGTATACCAAAATGTTCGTCAGGCCAAGGCGAGCATTTTGGTATTCTTTACACACCTGTAGACGAACAGTGGGCCGAGATACATAGGTTTTTCATACCGAGAATCCGATTTTCAGGTAGTAATGCCCCGACACGCGCCGATCAAGAAGATTGCCCAGTGCCAGCAGCTCGGCGGCAAAATCATCGTCAAGGTCAGGGGGCAGTTTTGTAGTTTGTAGTCTAGATTTAAAGGTTGTATTTTGTAGTTTGGCTGCCAGTTTCGCCGGTATATGTCGGCTACGCGGGGGGGGACGGGACAGGCAGGTCTTTTTGGATGTTCTCGTTATTTTCTCGGAATTTTTTCAACGGTATTCGATAGAGCACCGAAAAATATACTAAGAGTTTTTGTTTTAGCTCAAATTAGTGGAATATAAAAAAGTTATGGCAAATACAAAAATAAGCTTTGAAATTCGGGTTGAGCGGCTGTTTTTCGACATTCGCGCTATTTTTTCGACATTTGAAAGATGCCATTCGATAGAGCATCCAAAAATATACTAAGAGTTTTAAATTTAGCTCAAAATAATGTAATATAAAATAGTTATAGCAAAAACAAGTATTAAACGTTGTTTCGATGGAGGACATAGAAAGAAATAAAGTTTTCGACATTTTCGACATTTTTACAAAATTTCTTTAGTGCCATTCGACAGAGCGTCGAAAAATATACTAAGAGTTTTCAGGGGCGTAGCCAGAAAAAAATTTCGGGGGGGGGCCCCGAAAATTTTTTTCCGAAAAACTCAAAAAATTAACGAAAAAACAGCGCCGCAGGCGAAAAATTTTGGAAAAAAGGCAACATAGCTCTATAAATAGCAGTAAAAACGTGAAAAAATAGCGCCGCAGGCAGCAAAATTTTGGAGAAAATAAAAATCATAAGGGTCCCCCCTTATGAAATTTTTGGGCCCCGGCCGATTTCGGGGGGGGCACCGGGCCCAGGGGGCCCACCTTACGCTACGTCCCTGAGAGTTTTGTTTGTAGCAAAAAGAAACGCAAAAAAAATAGTTAGCTCGGCCCCAACAGTCCGTCCCCCCGCGTAAAATTTCCCCCCGGGGAGCCGACATATACCGTTTCGCCAATAGTTCCGTGTTTTCAGGGCAAAGACATTTCGGAGAGTCGCCACGTGGCCCTGACGCAAAGCCTCGAGGCCGGCGGCAAGTACATCAACGGATATGATCATGAACATGTCATTGCTGGGGCTGGCACTGTTGGGCTCGAGATTTTGGATCAGGTAACACTTTAGGTAACTAGCAGAAGTTCTTTAGGAATCTTGAAAATCCGGATTTTGGGGTTTTTTTCTGCTTTCAAACAATTTTTAGGCTAAAATAGAGCTAAATTTTCCTAAAAATGCTACCAGGGTTGAAAAGTCGCGAAGCGATCGCTTCGCGACTTTTCAACCCTGGCCCCGTTTGGACAAATGAAACTGTATACTTTCCATAATTCAGCCTCGATCAAGCTGACAAAAATGAAAAGATTTTCTTCCATAGGCTTTTATAGGCTTCTTTTACTTCCGGTATATGCTAATTGTTTCCTACCAAAGAGGGTTCTCGAAAATTTTAGAAATACTTATTTTTAATATCGAAAATAGCGTATTTCGATAATTCTGTTATGCGTGCAGTCATCGCAGAGCCATTACGCACCTAATGACGTATCATACGTACCCTAATATTCATCCCCTATTGAGTTATCCTCCGGACATAGAGACGGAAGTTGCATGCAAATCGACACACACACACACACAGACACTACTTTTTTATATATAGTAGGATTATGACGCTAGCTGCCTGACAGGCAACGAGCAGAGATTCTTGAGAAACTTCGAAACAGCTAAAGTGTTGTTATTTGGCAGAATTTCGGCGTTCAGAGGTTTTTCTAGCTTAAAAAAAAGTTTCTTGTTTAAAAATTGGCTAATTTTGCTCAAAATTTTATACAAACTCTAACTGACTAGCAGGTAGCTAGCAGAGATCATTTAGGAATTTTTCCGCTAAAGGTTCCCGACGTCTCGGCCGTGTTGGCCAGCGTGGGCGGTGGTGGGATGATTGCCGGTGTGGCGACGGCGATCAAGAATCTCCGCCCCCAGGTCGATGTCATCTCCATCGAGGCCGACAGCTGCCCCTCATTCAAGGCGAGCTAGCAGAGGAATTTGAGGAATTCTTTGTCTTTCCAGAATTCCCTGGAAGCCGGCCAGCCGATCCGTACCCCGGTGATGCCGACCCTTGCCGACGGTCTCGCCGTTCCCCTCATTGGCTTCAACGCGTTCGCCACCGCGCTCGGTATGGTGCAAAAATGCTTCAAATCTAATCAATAAATCAAATAAATCAAATCATATTTTTTTATTTGCTAAATTTGGCACATTTTTCGGCTAAAATTCGTGAAAATTATTTGAAAAATCGGAAATTTGAGACTTTTTTCGGGCACAAAGCGTGAAAATTCACGTTTTTCCAGGCAAAATCGACGAGTCGATCGTGGTGGACGAGAAGACGATCGGGCTCGCCATTCTGCGGCTCGTCGAGATGGAGAAGGTCAGCCAGAGGCGGTTGTTCCCTCAAAGGAACCCTGCTAGCCTGCCCAGGCGTGATCAAATTGTCTTTGCTAACTTGCCACTAACCGAGCTGGCAACCAGTTTAAAGATTCCCGCTTCCTAAATGGTCCCTTCTAGCCTGCCCGCCATTTTTGGGACCAATTACGGGCCGAAAATCGTGAAAATCGACAAATTTCGGGTTTTTAATCGATTACGCGATGAAATGATCTATGTTTGCTTGCCATGCGCTCCGCTGGCTGCCAGTTTATCGATTTCCACTTCCTAAATGGTCTCTGCTAGTTTGCCCGCTATTCTAGGCTAGGAAATTCGACAAAAATCGAGCCATACAACCGATTACGCGCTGAAATTCAGATCGTTGTGGAGGGCGCGGGTGCCTGCGGCGTGGGCGCGCTGCTGTCCGGCCGCCTCGACAAGTACAAGGGAAAGAAGGTGGTCGTGGTGCTCAGCGGCGGAAATATCGACACCACCCAGCTGGGGCGCGTCATGGAGAGGGGTGGGTCCCGGAGCGGAATTCCCCAAATGGCCTCTGCTAGCTTGCCGTTCGATACAATGGCTGTCAGTTTGTCGATTCCCGTTTCCCAAATGACCTCTGTTAGCTTGCCCGGGTTTTCGGAACCGATTACGCAATGCAATTCATGAAAAACTACGAAATTTGACGGGACAATCAATTACGGCATCAAAAACCTCGGCTAGCCCGCCCCACCCCCGGTTTCAGGCATGGCGTGGGACAACCGCCTGGTCCGCTTCAAGGTGAGCGTCTCCGACCGGCCGTGGGGCATCGCCGAACTCACCGAACTCGTCGCCAAGGAGGGCGGATCGATCAAGGACATTTTTCTGGTGGGTGGAGTTTGTAGTCGGGCTGACAGTTTGGTGATTCCCGAAAGAATTAGACTTCTAGCTACAAACTACAAAAAGTTAGACCCTGGAAAAAATTGCAAAAAATCAAATTTCCGGATTTTCCGCTAGATTCCTATTGGCAGGTGCGTGTACTTACAAGGAGATGGTCTCAGCTCGACACCGAATTTCGTTTTAAAAATTTGCACACTGATAGAGCTCGACGAGACGAATCGATTGGTGTAACTTTCAGCTGCCCATACTAAAAAATAACCGAGTTATAAGCATTTTAAGTTTTTGCATACATTTTGCATTTTTTCCGCCCTACCTTCATAAGCCCTCGCCCTTCCCCCATCACCGTGGCCTCGTGGCCTAGTGGCGTAGTCGGCGGCGTATGGGGAATCTATTAAAGGTTCGAACCCGCTCACGATTTTTATTTTTTGCTTTTTGGCACAAATGCTGCCATTGGCGTTCTGAAGGCCTGGAATCAGTTCGTATTCCTTATTTTAACCCTTGCAAGACGCAGTGACCATAAAACATCTTTTTTTTTTCAGAAATTGGATTTTTGACCCCATGGGGCATTAACTGTTCCAGCAACAAAAATAAAAATTTAAAATAGAACAAAAAGTTAAGAATCAATATAACATACGGTGAATGCGTTGTGTGTCAGCAAGCGTTTTTCACTGTCGCAATTTTTTTGAAAATGTTGTTCATAGGTTGTGCATAAGTCCAATGTTAAGTTCGAAAATTTTTGATGATGAGGTATTGTGGGCACTGCGCCTTGCAAGGGTTAAAATAAGAAATACGAACTGATTCCAGGCCTTCAGAACGCCAATGGCAGCATTTGTGCCAAAAAGCAAAAAATAAAAATCGTGAGCGGGTTCGAACCTTCAATAGATTCCCCATACGCCGCCGACTACGCCACTAGGCCACGAGGCCACGGTGATGGGGGGAAGGGCGAGGGCTTATGAAGGTAGGGCGGAAAAAATGCAAAATGTATGCAAAAACTTAAAATGCTTATAACTCGGCTATTTTTTAGTATGGGCAGCTGAAAGTTACACCAATCGATTCGTCTCGTCGAGCTCTATCAGTGTGCAAATTTTTAAAACGAAATTCGGTGTCGAGCTGAGACCATCTCCTTGTTAGCCCGATAGGTGGTACTTTTCCTATGTCGTAGCCCGACTGCCACTTTAGCCTTTCCGCTAAAAAACCCAAAAATTAAGGAGCGCTCGTGGACCCGTTCGGACGTGTTCACCGTCCGCACGAAGGTGGTGGCCGAGACCCGCGACTCGAAACATGCTCGCCGACTCGAGCAGGCGTTGCGGCTGCGGTGCGGCTTTTTCCCCAATAATCCCTGCTCGTTTCTTTGCAGATACGCCGACGACTGTATCTTCCACCTCTTTCCCACCGTCGACATGCATTAAGCCGCCGCCGCTGAAAGAAACGACAAGAATTACCTTAATATTACCGGCTTCACACAAGCCGAGAATGACGATAAAGCCTTACTCCATTATTTTCACGCTTTTTGTGCTGTTTTTACAAGTTGAGACGAATTTTCACGTTTTTCGCTCAATTTTGAGCCGATTTTCTCGATTTCTCGGTGTACGAAACGCTACTATCCGGAGATTCCGTACAGTGTAGTGGAGCGTACACCCGAATATCGGGAAATTGCGAATTTTGGGATGAGTTTTATGAGTTTTTCACGTTCCTTGGCTTGATTTAAACGATTGCTGACGTTTTTACATGGCTTTTTCACGTTTTTTGCGCGATTTTGGCTAGTTTTGGCCCTAGATTTCTGAAATGTCTGTAATTTACAAAATGGATGGCGCCATTCGAAAGAACGGGCTCGATTACCCCTTGCAGGGTTAAATTAGGCCGGGAAGACCAGGGAAAAGTTTGAAAACTAGTTTTTTCTAAAATCTAGCCATTTCTTGGTGTACGAAGCGCTACTAGCCACACGATTTTGTACAGGGGAGTGGAGCGTACATTCCTAAATCGAAAATGTGAAGTTTTCTTTTTTTGGGATTTTTTTTAGTTTTCAGCTCTGCTAACCCGTTTTGTCATGAAAAAACGTTTTATTCATCGTGATTGACGCGAAAGCGATGATCAGCGCTTCAAAATAGCTTTAGAGCTTTTTTAGGTTTTGATACGTTTTTCGTTTTTTTCCGATTTTCTTTCCTGTTTCTTGCATTTTCCTTCTTTTCTATATTTTTGTATTTACCTTTTTTCAGGTATAATGATGTACAGCCCGAATCCGCGGCCGCCCCCGCCGGCGTGGCGCAAGTTCACCGTCGTCCTCATCCTGTTCGTCATCAACCTGCTCAACTACGCCGATCGGTTCACGATCGCTGGTCGGTTTTATGGAAGTTTTCACGCTCTGAAAACGCTAGGGCTTTTGAACAGCTTGAAAACCTCGTTTTTGCGCTATTTTCGTGCTTTTCGAGCTTGCCAAAAAGTTTTGTGCGCGTTTTCGAGCTGTTATAGCTTCGAAAATTCGTTTGGACGTCAAAAACAGCGCGTGGCGAGCTTTGAAAAGCCTGAAAACGACTTTTTCAAGCGCGTTTTCGATCTTTTTTAAGTTATTTGGCTTTTCTACAAATTTAAAAGCGAGCTTTTACAAGGTTTGGTGCGTCTTTTCGATTGTTAGAGCTTCCAGATTCTTTGAAACGTTCGAAACGGGCTTTTTTACGTATTTTTAAAGCTGTTAACGCTTTCGGGATTCTAAAAACAACGTTTTTGCATATTTTTCATGCTGCGAAAGCTTCCAGGGCCTTAAAGGGATGCCGACGGCATAGTCAATCGGTTACGCGCTGGAAAGAAATTGTCTCTGCGCCTCTCCCCAGGGCGCGCTCTCTGCCCTGTTGGCTACCTGCCAATTTGTTGATGGGGGGATCGACACATGCCGTCGGCAGCCCTTTAAAAAAGGTTACAAAACCCACATTTTTGCCTATTTTTCGATATGTTAAAGCTTCCAGATTCTTTTAAGCGTTCAAAACGGCATTTTCGGCGCGTTTTCGAGCCGTTCAGGCATGTAAAATTCGAAAAACACTCAAAACTATGTAGTTCCGTGTTTCTGGGACTGTTTTTAGGCTTGTTGGGCAAAATTTATCTTCGGAACAACGTAAAACCTTTTTCAGGCGTGCTGACCGACATCCAGCAGTACTACAACATTGACAACGACATGGGCGGGCTGCTGCAGACGGTGTTCATCGTCTTCTTCATGCTGTTCAGCCCCGTTTGCGGGTTTTTGGGCGATCGGTAGCTTTTCGAAAGCTTTCTCATGCTTCTGCTTTCAGCTACAACCGGAAGTGGATCATGGTGGCCGGGATTCTGGTGTGGGTGCTCGCCGTCTTCGCGTCGACGTTCGTCCCGGCCGATGTGAGCTTTTTCTACGCGTTTTGGGAGCTTTTGCGTTATCCGGGGGATAAAAATAACAGTAAATAAATGATCCTACTATATATAAAAAAATAGTGTCTGTGTGTGTGTGTCCGTGCCACTTTGCATGCAACTTCCGTCATTCTGTCCGGAGGATATCTCGGAAAGGGAAGGTTTTTAAGGTATGTTTGATACGTCATTAGATGCGTCATGGCCTGGAGATGACTGCACCAATATCAGTTTTTACAAATTCAGCTGTTTTCGACACTAAATTTAAGTTTTTGTTGAAAAATCGGGCAGCCTTCTTTGTTAGGAAATAATTAGCATACGCCGGAAGTTGCGGCGGCCTATATATAACCCGAGAGAGTGGAACTTTTCATTTTTCTCATCGGAAATCGAAAGACGTATGCAGATTGTAGAATCTGATGGGGTTGGACCGGGCCAGGGTGGAAAAGTCGCGAAGCGGCTTTTCAACCCTGGTAGAAACATAAAAATATCCATTTTTCCATCAAAAATGCCGATTTTTCGACCAAAATTTCGGATTTTTAAAAATTTTCAAATTTTTAAAAGCTTTTTCCATTTGAAGTATCACTAAATTTTGCTAAAAAACTATAAAAATATTGGATGCCAAAAAAATACAGATTTTTCACCCCGAAATGGCCGTTTTTCATCAAAATTTCGGGGTTTCTCGAGGTTTTTGAGGGGTTTTTCGCTATAAATAGTGTTAGTTATAGTAAAAACGCTAAAATTAGCCTCCCCCCCCCCCCCCCCGATAGTGCGAAAGATCCGGCTTTTCCTCTCGTTTTAAAAGCGTTTAAAACCCGAATTTTTTCAGAAATTCTGGCTGTTCCTGCTGATGCGAGGGATCGTCGGGGTGGGCGAAGCCTCGTACGCCGTCGTCTCCCCATCCCTGATTGGCGACCTCTACAGCGGCAAGCGGCGCTCCCAGATGTTGATGCTCTACTATTTTGCCATCCCCGTCGGCAGGTAAAATCGTATTTTATAGCATTTTTTGACGATTTTTCGAGGTTGAAACTGAAAAGTTAAAATTTTTCGATTTTCTTGCGGTTTGCGGTTGCAGTTTTTCGAGGCCGAAACGCGATAAAAAGTCGCAGTTTTTGCTAATAAAGCTGGCAAAACTAAGCAGCGGGTTTTCAAACAGGAAAGTGAAAAAGAATTTAGGCCAAAAAATCGAAAATGAGGAATTTTTAAAATTTCGATTTTTAACTTTTTAAAACGCTCTGAAAAGCTGTAGATTTTTTCTGATAAAGCTGGCTAGTTTCAATATTAAATTTACCGTTAAGAGCTAACTTGAATTAATGGCTTTTAAACGATATTTTTGAAAGTTAAGGCGTAAAGATCGAAATTCCCGGAAAATAACGAATTTTTCGATTTTTCGCGATTAAAATAGCTAAATAGTGCTAAAAATATCTATATTCTGTTTCTGGAGCTTTTCCTCGAGCTATAGGCGTTTGAAACATATGCATAATGGGTTTTGAAAGGTTATTTTAGAAATTTTAGGTCAAGGAAAATCGAAATTCTAGAAAAATTTGAATTTTTCACTTTTTCACGATTAAAATGGAATTAAAATGCTTTAAAAGTGTTTCCGTTTTTCAGCGGTATCGGCTACGTGATCGGGTCGCAGTTGAGCGCCACCTTTGGCAGCTGGGAGTGGGGCATGCGGCTGACGCCGGCTTTTGGTAAGAATTTCAAAGTTTTTTCAGAAAATTCGATTTTTAGGAGCTTTCTGCATCGTGCTGACGTGCCTGTTCGTCTACGAGCCCGAGCGCGGATCCGCCGAGCCGGTAAACGGGTTCCAAAAACTTTTTACATGATTTTTTAGGGCGAAGCGCTTCTCCCAAAGGACCCGGATGCGCCAAAGGAGCCGATGGGCAACCAGATGCTCGACTATCTGCACGATTTGAGGATGCTGATGAAAAAGTGAGGGTTTTGGTGCGGGGAAAAGAGTGGGAAGAAGCCGAAAAATGGGTTTCCGGATCCGGTGGGCATTTCCGGAAAAACGAAATTTGCCTCTTTTTGTGTAAGAAAAGCTATTTTTCATCACATCTGGAAATGGGTTCCGGAAAAACGGAAATTAACCTTGATTTTAGCTTCAAAAAACACATTTTTTCCAGATCCGGAAAGACGGAATTCCGCTTCTTTTTTCGCCAAAAAAAAGCTATTTTTTTCTACCCAGAAAGCGGTTAGCCGAAAAAATGGAAAATCGCTTCTTTTCCGGCTTAATTGATCCGGCTCCGTTTCCGTTTTTCCGGAAATCCCAGCTTCTTCTCGGGCTTTCCTCCCTGATCTAGCGATTTTTTAAGCTCCCAATTTCAGCCCGACCTACATCTTCTCGACGTTCGGCTACACGGCGCTCGTTTTCGTCACCGGCACGCTGTCTTGGTGGGTTTAGTGCCTTTTTTCCTAAAAAAAAATCCTAAAATGTTGTTTTTGAAACAAACCGTGTTTTTTTCAGGTGGGTGCCGACGGCGATGAGCCACGCGAAGGCGCACGAGCTCGGGCTCAACTCAACGGATCTGCTGTCGGACGAGTACAAATTGGAGTACGTTTTTCCTTGATTTTTTTAAAATATTTTTAGTATCAACCTGAAATTCGGCGCGGTGACGATCGCCGGAGGGATTGCCGGCGTCTGCATTGGTGCCCTTCTGGCTGAGGTGAATATTTACGATTTTTAAGGCGAATTTCGCTTGAAAATGGATTTCTAAAACCAAAGACTGGTGAATATTTCGCTTTAAAATGAAAAATGTTTTTTCTAAATTTTTTAGATAAAAGAATTAGGCTGTTTAAAACGCCGGAAAACTCGCTATTTTCTAATTTCCTACGCAGAGATACGCTGTGTTTTGATTTTCATGTCGTAATCGATTATTTTCTACAAAATTTGATGTAAAAATCAAGGCTAACTTTTTATTACAATAATTTTATTTTGTAGATGCTCCGGCAGGGCCAGCTGTGCTTCCGCTTCTTCAAAACGGAACGCGCCTGTCCGATCATTTGCGCGATCGGAGCCCTGATCGGAACCCCGGCCCTGTTCAGCGCCATGCACGTCATCGGGCACTCCGAAACGGAGAGCTATGTGCGTTTCTTTATTTTCCTTCTCTCTCCCTGCTCTCTCTCTCTCTCTCTCTCCCCAATCTTTTAGTTTTTAAAAATTAATTGTTTTTGTTTTCAGGCACTGATGTTCATCACGATCACGGGTCTCTCCTTCAACTGGTCGATCAACGTCGATTTGTTGATGAGCGTCGTCGTGCCCTGGAGGTGAGAGCGTGGCTGTGCGTTGCGGCGCTCAGATTTCTAAGATTTCCGCCGCGACATGCAACGCTGCCGCGCCGCCCCCAATAACGTGGCGGAATAGATTACGCTATGAAAGGCCGGCGTGCGCCTAGCGGTTGCGTTGCGGCTCGCGTTTCTCCTAGTGTCACCGCCCCTTTAATCCCGTTTTTCAGGCGCAACTCGTCGATCGCCTGGCAGATTCTGATCTCGCATCTTTTCGGTGATGCGGCCGGCCCGTATCTCATTGGAATGGTACGCAATTTAATGGGTTTTTCGGGTTTTTTTAAAGGGATGCCGACGGCATAGTCAATCGGTTACGCGCTGCAAAGAAAATGTCTCTGCGCCTCTCCCCGGGGCGCACTCTCTGCCCTGTTGGCTACTTGCCAATTTGTTGATGAGGGGGGGATCGACACATGCCGTCGGCAGCCCTTTAAAGACTACCAGAACGATGGAACGCGCACTGTCACCCCGAGGGTACTGCCCCCAAGAACGCGCATAGAGGGTCGTCATTAGTGGTGTCCCGTATTGGGCAAAGACCCTCTGGGATTTGGGGCGCCTCTGTCTCCCTTCCCCACTTAGCCCTGTGGTATAGTGGCTAGTACGTCGGACTGTGGAGCGAACCATCGCGGGTTCGACCCCCGCCCGGTGCGCAACTTTCTTGCTCTAAACGATATTTCATCGTTCTGACGGTCTTTAACGTTTTCAGAGGTTCAAAATGCTTTTTTTCAGCTGTCCGACCGTTTCCGAGGCGCGCAGACGTCTCCGTGGAGTCGATTCGTCTCGCTGCGCACCGCTTTCTACATCCCCAATGCGTTCTGTATTCTATCGGTATTTTCGCTAATTTGATCTCGTAATTACTTTTTTTCAGGTGCTGCTGTTCTTCATCGCCTCGATGACGGTGCTGCGCGACCAGGCCGTCTACCGCAGGGAGATGGGTACGTTATTGACATTGCAAAAGTAGAAATTTGGTCAAAAATCGATATTTTTGTATTTTAAAAAATTTTTAACGTTTAGGAATAGTTAACCTTCTCCCCCCCACCCCCGATAAGGCGAAAGAACATGATTTTGCACATTCTCATGTGAATTTTGGGGTTTTAGAGGCTTTTTAAAATTTTAAAGGAATTTTGTAGATTTTTTAGAAGGAACTTGAAAGTTTTGGTGCAAGTTTAAGACTTTTTAGATGGGTCTTTGCTTTTTTGGGATTCCCAGATTTTTAGATTGATTTTTAGGGATTTTACATTTTTAAGGTCTGCTAGGGATTTTAGTTTCGTAGCGTTTTAGCGGGATTTTTGTTCTTTTTATAGGAATTTTTAGAAGATTTTTAGATTTTTATTAGCGCTTTTTATTTTTATAACGATTCTAAAGTTTGAGGGATTTTTATTTTTTATTGGGATTTTTATGTTTTTAGAGCAATTTAAAAAGTCTAAAAATTTAAAAAATGATTGTTTTCAGGCCATCCCTCCCGGCCCCAAAAAAGAAGACGGACCGCGAGCTGCTGCTACAAGAATAATAAAAATATCATCATAAATGTATATGTGTTCCTGATTGCCCCTCCCTTTTATCGCCTGTATCTTTTTTTGCTGCAATATTTTTGCAATCCGTTTTTTCGGAGGGTAATATAGCTCCTTTTTTCTCTCTATCTCTCGCACCCGATGTATATGTATTCGTATTTCTTTTTTTTTGGGCCCTGTTCCCCGCGGATAAATCGTTCTTTGGGAGAGTATTTTGATTTTTTTTAACCTGCCGAATTTACAGTACGATTCCGCAAATGGTCTTTGCTAGATTGATCTTTTCCAGGCAGCAGAAATGGTCTCTGCTGGCATGCATTTCATGTTTTTAGGCTAGTAATACTGTTTTTTAGCTTTCTGAGCTTAGAAACTGGGTTTCCCTAATTTTGTGGCCTCTAAAAAGTCTAATTTAGGCGTTTTGATGCGTATTTTCGCTTCCGCAAGTCACCTTTGCTATGCGGCCAGGGGTTTATAGAGCTTGACATGCTGTTTTTGTGCTTTTGTCTGGGTGGAAAATCTTTATTGTAGTCTTTAGCGTTTCCCCGATAATTTTTTGGCGTCTTGGATGATCTTTGCTAGGTTGCCCTGGTTTTTTTTTCCAGGGTTCATAACTTGCTGATGAGCTTTTTGAGGTTAGAAAAATCTATTTTTAGCGTTGCAGCGATCCGTTTAACCCCCGCAAACGGCCTGTCCATTTTTTCATCACTTTCTACTTTTGGAAAGCTAATTTTAGGCTTTTTAGCGTCTGAAAACCTCGATGACCTTTCCCAAATGCTTTCTGCTAGCTTGCCCCCCTTTGATACCTCTAATAATCAGGTTTTTTAGCTAATTTGAGCGATTTTTTGACGTTTTCCAGGGTCGTCGAGCTATTTTTAAGTATTTTAAACCTCTGAACGCGCCGATGACTTTCCAAAATACTCTCTGCTAGTAGGCCCGGATTTTACAGCTTTAAAAGCAAGTTTTCTTAGCTAATTTTAACGATTTTTTGACGCTTTGGCGATCACTTGCACTATAGAGAAGCTCTTTTAAGCTTTTTAGGCCTCTGAACGCGCCGATGACTTTCCAGAATGCTCTCTGCTAGTTTGCCAGCGTTTCCTATGCTCGAAAAGCCGTTTTTAGGCTTCTCATGGCGTTTTTCAGACTCGTAGAGCTATTTTTAGGCTTCGTTAGCCGCTAAAAGTTGCGATAACCTTTCCGAAATGTTCTCTGCCAATTTCCCCTGCTTTTAGGGCTTTAAAAACTGATTTCTAAGACAATTTTTCGACCTTTTTAGGCGATTTTCACTTTCTTTTCGCCGCTCCCAACATTCGCTTACGCCACCTAAATCCCGCCCTCTCGTTTGCCAAGTTTTTTGAAATCTGAAGTTTTTCGATGCTTTTTCTTTTTTATAATGCTAAAAATTGCAAAAACTGATGATATAATTTGATTTTCAGGCGCAAACAAGATGGACAACAACATCAAGCTCGACGAGGACGACCCGATGGCCCTCTTTGCGGCCATCGCCGCCGAGGCCGACGCCATCGAGGTGTGTATTTTGAGTTTTGGAAGATACAACCAAGCTGGCCAATGCTTAAATGATTTATAAAACATTTTTATGACTATTTATAAGTTAGAAAAAGTACAAATTTCAAAAAATTTAACTTTTTTTTGATAAATTTTCATGCCTTTTTGGACAAGAAAATCGCTCTTTTGAGCCTTTTGAGCTTTGAAACTGGTTTTAAAACGTTGCCTGGCTTTGAAACAGAATGTAAAACATTTTTCTAACGTTTTTAGTAGTTTTGGGTTAGTGCAACATTCAAGAAAATTTGGAAAATCTTAAAAATTGAAGTTTTTGACGATTTTTCAGGCATTTTTGGACCAAAAATCGCTTTTTGGAGGCTTTAGAAGGTAAAACCAGGCTGGTTAATGCTTCAAATAGATTATACGGCATTTTTATGAGGTTTTATAATTTGTAAAAAGTTGAGAATTTGCAAAATGAGACCTTTTTGCGCAATTTTGGGGTTTAGACGCTATTTTAAAAAGTCGCCTGTCTCTGAAATAGAATGTAGAGGTTTGTAAAGTGTTTTTTAGTGTTTTCTGGCCATTAAAACATCATAAAATTTGGAAAACTTGAAAAATTGGGAGTTTGATAATTTTTCTCGGAATTTTTAGCTAGAAGTTGTGGTTTTTAGTGTTTTGAACTGCATTTTTTTTTTGCAGTTTTACGGTATTTGCCCCCCTCCCCCCGATAATGCAGGAGCTCCCCGAAATAGACAGTTTGAAAAAGCAGCATTTGTTTCGCTGGTTTTCGTCAGCTATAATTCCAATTTCAGGAGGACGAGCTGCCCGAGGAGGAGCGGCCTCGGTGGACGGACGCCTCGCAGTGCCTCTACCGCCCGCCCGACACCAAGAAGGCCAAGAAAAGTGAGCGAATCACGCATTTAATGAATTTCCCTTTTGCAGGGCCCACGCTGCAAGAAGCTGTTCGAGCCGTTCGGCTGCAGCTCGACAAGGACGGCCAGCAGGCGCTTATCGCCAAGCTCGACGACCCGGAGGCCAGCCACGAAATCGACAAGTGGATGGCCGGCTTTGAAGATGGTATATTTTTCATTAAAAAATGACTTTAAATTTTATTTTGATTTCTAAAACATAATTTTGAGTTTTAAACTTAATTTTGGTTTTTAAAATTTATTTTTAACTTGAATTTTTAATAATTTACTTTAGAAGTCGATAATAATTGTTTTAATTTCTTTTTTCCAGTCCGCTTCACGCACAACGTCGCGCCGTTCCTCCGAAAGCGCGCCGCCGAACTCGCCCCCGACGTCGAGCAGCACAGCATATGGTAAGCGAGAATTTTCTTTTTTTTTTACTTGAAAATTTAGGCACGATCTGAGCGGCTGCATCTGGAACGTGGCCAAGTTCATCGTCGCCGAGCAGGTCAACTTTTCCGGTGAGTTTTTCGGGCTTTTTCGAAAGATTTCCATATATTTTGCCTTGCCAATCCCTTTAAATGCCATTTTTTTTAGACGAGGACTGCGGCCTGGTCGCCCGCGAGCTGGCCGCCCATCGACTCGCCGCCGCGCGTCGGCAAAACGATCGCTTCGCCCAGCGGTATCTGGCCAGGTATCGGGATTTTTGTGTTGAATTTTTTTTGAAGTTTTTGTTAGCTAAAAAATTTGTTTTTCTAAAAATATAAATAATTTGAATTCTTAGAAATGACTCCTTTTTCAAAATTCTATTTTTTAGCATTCCAAAATAATCAGTTGTACCGTATTTAATTTGCTATAAATTTCATCGAATTTTTGTAAGCATTTTATTAGCGATAAAATTTTAATTTGGCCATTTTTCTACGTTTTTAAAAAAATTGAAATTTTGAAATTTTTTTTTTTTAGGGTTTTAAATATTTTAATTTCATTTATTGGCTATTATTTTGAATTTTTGGGCTTAAATCCGTGTTTTTCAGCGCTCCCCGCATCGAACTGCCCGCCGACGATGATGCCGCGGAAGATGAGGAACAACTTCTAGCAGTTCAATGGGTATTTATCGCTTTTGCGGCTCAATTTTTCAATTTTTTAGATCACCGACTGCACGCACCGGATGCGCATCCAGGATCTGAGCGCCGAGCTGGGCTGCTCCGTGGAACAGGCCGAAGAATGGCTCGGCAGAAGTCAGGGAACATGCTCGGGGAGGTCGAGCCCGCTACGGACCGAGGAGGGTGATTAGTGGGTCGTTTTGATGCTTTCGAAATTTAATCTTAATTCTATTTTAATAATAAAAATAAAATTTTAATCTTATTTTAATTTAATGGATAACACTTTGTAATTTTAAAATTAAATTAATTTTGAAGTTTTTCATTTTTTTTTTGCAATTTAAGAATTTTTTTTAATTTTAAAAAGCCTGCTTTTTTAAATCGATTTTTCTCGGCAACCGTAATCTTTCAGTGATTTTGGCAAGGCGAATCCGCGCAGTTGAAAATTTTCTAGAAAATGAAATTTTGAATTTTGTTAAATTACGGAATTAAATTTTATTTTTTTTAGAAAAATTTGTCATCTTTCTCGACGACACGAAATCGGCTAATTTTCCCTTTTTCAGCGACCCGTCTGCCCTCGTTGGCTATTCGGATGAGGAGGATGAGGTGGAGGAGCACGAGGATGGCCTCGATGTACACGGATATCCCGGCCGTACCCCCTTCGGCGTCACCAAGCAGGTCACCCCCGCCAAATCGGTAATTTCTTAGAAAATTTGTTTTAAATTCTTTTACTCTTTTTAGCCCGAACCTGCTGCCGTCGTCGCCGTGGTCGAGCAGCAGTCGGCCGTCTCCCCGGCCCTCGCCGTCGTCACCAAGGAGGTCACGCTCGCGAAATCGGTATTTTTATTCATCTAGAAATTGTTATTTAAATAATTAAATTTGTATTTTTAATTGACAAAATGTGATTTTAATCATATTTTTAACTTATTTTTTGTAGAAATTTAATTTAGAATTTTTTACGATTTTAATGAATTTTTTAAGGTTTTGGACCTTTGAAGCGATTTTTAGAATGTAAATTTTTGCTGAGAACGGTAATTATTTTCCACTTTCTAGCCCCGTCCTGACCCTGTTGACGTCGTCGTGGCCGAGCAGCAACCAGCGCCCTCCGTCTCCCCCATCATCGCCGTCAAGTCCGAGCCGGTCGACGGCGATGCTACGGTAAATTGAATTTTTTATGTTTGATTATGCCCCGTTTTTAACCCGTCCCTGTTGCCGTAGCCGCCTCGCCCATCATCACCGTCAAGGCCGAGCCGGTCGAGCAGTTCGAGGCGCCGCCCGCTCCCGGCCCGCCCATCGACATCAAGCCGGACATCAAGCACGAGATTGGAGAGGGCAGAAAGAAGAAGAAGAACATGGAGAAGCAGCCGAAACAGCCGGTATTTTTTTGATGGTTTTGGCTTTTAAAGTATTTAAAACGATTAAAATAGCCTTTTTTATTTTTTATTATTATTGTGGATTTTTCGAATTTGTCATTTTTACCCTTTAAATTCAGGGTTTTTATATGGTTGTCTTTTTTCCGTTGTTTTTTTAATTTTTCAAAGCGAATTTTGGAATTTTGGGATGATTTAAATTAGTTTTGATAAATTTAAATTGATAGATTTTGATCAAAATAAATGTTTTGGGTTATATTTTTCATTTTTTGATTACTACGGTAATCTTGGTTGTTTTAGAAACGCGTCAAAGAAGCGGGCGCCGCGCTGCGCGCCGGCCCCTCGTGGAACCCGCGCCGACGCCCCCCGCGCCGCACGCCCCTCAATGGATACTTGACGGCTGATGTGAGCGTTTTTAAAGCGTCTCTGCTAGCTTGCCCGTTTCTTAAAAACCCCTGAATTCGCATAAATATCTCCCCATTTTAAATCTAAAATTTTTTAATTCTAAATTTAAGCTTTAATTTTTTGCCCTTTTTTTAGAGGTTTTAAATAATTTTTTTAGTACGTAATGAATTTTAATTTTTCAAAAAATTTAAATTGCGTGTTTTCCGAACAAACAGGCGCTTTTTTGTCAAAAAAAAACCCCGAGAAACGCTATAAAACATTTTTCAGCACTTCTCGCGGCGCGGCCGGGCGACCCCCGAAATTCGACAGCTCCTCCACGCGGAACGCGACAAATGGCGCGTCACCTTCGGCGACGACGGGCGCTATCGGGTCAAGTACGTTATCAGCTAATTTTTGAGTTTTCGAAGTCACGCGTCGCGGTTGCTTTACGCGTGGGGCCACGAAGTAGCGTGAATCCCGCGCGTCGAGGCGAAATTTTCTGGCGCGTCGCGGTCGTCGCGTTGCGGCAGACGTTGAGCCCAAAATTTTACGTGTTGCGAACAGTGATTTAGAGGTTTTGGGCGCGGCGCGATCGCGCTGCGCAGCGCGTTTTTCGATGTTGGAAATTTTTCGATTTTCAATACTCTAATTTTCAGGCTGTACACCCCTCGATTCGGTTTCGACAGCGGCAGTCTCGTCTATGGAGATGATCAGGATCAGCTATCGCTACTCCAAGACACCGGCCACACCTATTACGCCAGGATTTTCGGCAACCAAATGAGAGAGTACGCGTTTTATTCTATTTCATTTAAATTTTCAATTTTGTTATTTTTTTGTAACTTTAAGCCTTGAATTGCTAATTTTTTGAAAATTAGTTTTATTAATTAATTTTTATTTTTTTTGCATCCACATGTTTTTTGTTGCAGAATTTTCGGCGACATGCGCCGGAAGGGCGGCGACAAGGACCGGAAAGCGATTGGCGACGCGCATGGAGGACCCTCGGTGCCCCAGCGAAAAGTCTACAAATTTGTAAGGAATTTTTGCTGTTTTTAATTTTTTCTCTTTCCTTAATTTATCTGATTATTAATTTTGATTTAATTGATTTATTTATCGTATTTTTTGAAATTTTGGAAATGGTTTTTAGACAGCTTAGGCTAATTTATCGTATTCAGGCGGGCGACTCGATGACGCTGACGAGGGTCCCGGTCAGCTACGCCTCAGCCGCCCACATTTCCAGGGCCCAACCCACGCAACCATGGTAAATTTAAAATTGTATTTATGTTGCTCTCTCTCTCTCTCTCTCTCTCTCTCTCTGTCTCTCGCTCTCCCACTCTCTCTCTCTCTCTCTCTCTCTCTCTCTCTCTCTCTCTTTCGCTATCTCTCTGTCTCTCGCTCTCCCACTCTCTCTTCTCTCTCGCTCTCTTTCTCCCCTCTCTCTCTCTCGCGCTCTCTCTCACTCTCTCGTTTCTTTTTTATAAAAAATTACTTCTTTTTTTCAGGCACCCAGCCGCCCTGGCGGAGGAGTTCGCGACGGAGGCGTGGTCGTTCGAACGGCTCGACAAGGTTGACGCCGGCCACGTCACCGATGAGGTTAGATTTTCTACAAAAAAAAACCGCTAGAAAATCAAAAAGCAAAAAATTTTCCGCGTACGGGGTCGAACCCGGGTCGTTCGCCTGGCAGCCAAACGACTTACCATTTAGCCAGGGTTTTGGACGTCGGGATTTTTTGATTATAACGATTTTTTACTTTTCTTTGTATTTTGTAGCCTCCCGGAATCTTTGTAGTCTACAGCCTCTATCTCTTTTTTCAGAACCAGTGCAATTTTTGGATTTTTTTCAACGATTTTACCAATTTTTTTTTAATTTTTGGAGCTTGTAGCCTCCCGGAATTTTTTGTAGTCTGCAGTCTAGCTACCGTGTTTTCAGCAGCAGCGCAAGATCCTGGTGGATGGTTGGCGTGGCACCAAAAGATGTAACATCCGCCGTACGGCCATCATCACCGACTATCAGACGCTTCATTTCTGGAATGATGACACACTCGCCACCGTCGTCAACACCGTCAGGGGCCCCCGCGATTTTCAGTGCGTTTTTTTTTAAATTATTATTTTATGACTATAAAAATTCATTTTTTTATTTGCAGGCTTCTCCTGGACGGCTACCGCAAGGCCAACGCCAAATACCACCCGCACGTTCCGTCGGCCGTCGTCTTTGTCTTCAGTCAGTTTTTTATGTATTTGTTTTTCAATCAATTTTTATTTACATCTTTTACAAAATGCGAAAAATTTTTAATCTTTGAATTCAAAAAAATAGTCAAGTTAACCTTAATTCTTTTGATTCGAGGTTTAGAGTTTTATTCCCAGATCGATTAGTTTAATAAGAATTTTGAGTTATTTTTGTTTTTATTAGTTTTGGAAACGCTCTGACTTTTTTAAATCTTTCGATAAATATCAGAATTTTTGAATATTTTTCTGTAATTTACGACAATTTTTAGACCCAGCGACGGTGTTCGACCTGGACGGCTACAATTGGGAGGCGAATAAACGGCCATCCGAGAAGAGGCAGGAACGATTTGAGGAGCTCACAAAGTAAGGAGTTTTGTAGTTTGTCGCTAATTTTATTTTACCAGATGGTTACAGTCGCTTCGCGACTGCAACCATCTGGCCTTCGGGCTACCCCACATGTCCCACTCCACCACATCCTTTCCCACCTCCATCAATACCCCCCATGGCTGAAATCCCCGTCAAAAACTACCTAAATACCTTCCCGATGGCTTTAGATGATTTAAATAATTAATTAACATAATTAAAAAGTATTAAAAAGTATTAAAAGTATTAAAGTAACTTAAAAAGCTATTTGGGCGCGGGAAGGGGCCTGGGGGAAGAGGGGTGAAGAGAAAGGGGGCGTGGCCTCCCGGGGAGAGGGCCCCCACTCGTTTTATTAAGGAGCCACTTTCAAAGTTAATTTTAATAATTTAAACTAAAACTTTTTCTTAGTTTTTTTTATCAGTTTGGGGGTTTCTGACCACGCTCTATCCGAATCCGAAGAGACCTAAGCTCTAGCTCCTTTCCCCTTCGAGTTGAATTCGGCTTCAGACGGACGGACAGAGACCACAACAAAATTATTATAGTTGATAGGCTATGTTTTTATCGATTTTATTGGGTGTTCTTGGACCCGATCGCATTTGTAGCTTGTAGTCGCCTCTAGATCCTCGATTTTGTAGTCTGTAGCCTAGTATTGTAGCCCTTTTTGTAGTTTGTAGTCCGTATTGTTGCCGTGGATTATTTTGTAGTTTGTGTTAGCCTATCCTTGTAGCCGCTTTTGTAGTTTGTAGTTTTCCTCTGTCGGGCCCTTTGCCCCTAGATTCTGTAGCCTGTTTTGTAGTTTGTAGCCTATATTCTGGAGTCTGTGGTCGCGTTTTGCGGTTTTTAGTCCCCTTTTTAGCCGGTTTTGTAGTCTATAGTCTGTAGCTGATTTTTGTAGTTTATAGTCTGTAGTTTTCGGCTTTATTTTAATTTTTCCAGAATGTGCCTCTCCCTCCGCACTGAACTGCTCGAGCAGCTCGACCGTGCCGAGCGCGAGGGCCATCGCATGAGGGTGCAGCGGGACCAGTTGCGCTTCTTCTTCACCACTATCCCCGAGGTAAGGTTTCTTTGATTACGATATGCAATTCGAAAACTTGGTTGTCTTTCGCGCCTCCTAAATCATCTCTGCTAGCTGGCCAAATCTATACGCGATTAAAATCGGCGGAATTGGGTTGCTACAAAATTTTGTCAATCCTCAAATTTTCTCTGCTAGCCTGCCCCGTTTTTCAGAATCGATTGCGCTATGAAAATAGGAAAAAAAATTAATGTATAAAAATTAATTAATGAAAATTGGTTACGCCACTAAATTCTATGATACCCTTCAAATCCCTCAAATTTTGTCTGCTAGCTTCCTCGGGGTCTTAAATTGTCTTTGCTAGCCTGCCCAATTTTTGAGGGATCGATTACGCCATTAAACTCGGAAAATTTAAGAATTAATCGATTACGCAATTAAATGGCTTGCCTGACCTCGTTTTTCTGGAATCGATTACGCAATGTATCGCCTGTTTTTGCAGGCTCGCCACGCGGTCCGCGTCTTCGAGGTGTTCAACGACAAACTGCGCGACTGGGCCCATCGGTATTTACTAATATCTTTATTTATTTAGTTAAATTAAATCAAATTTTCGAAAAATAGAAATTACGTTAAAATGAAATTCCGGAATCCTAGTTTTCGATAAAATCAAAATACCGGCATTTATTGATCGGCTACAGTTTCCGTTAATTAGAACTATAGAAATCGATAGTTGATTTTTATTTATTCCAAATTTAAAATTCGGGGATTTTTCGAAAAATGCCGAAAATCAATAAATTTCGGAAAAGCCGATTTTTTTTGCATTTACTGTACCCCATTGTTTTTTTTGTCAGGAACAGCAGGGAATACCCGGAACTTCGCGTACTCGATTGGGCCAAATATGTCAAGGAGGAGGCGTATCGGGCGAATAAACAAGGCGACAAACGGAACAAGAAACAGCCCGCCAACAATCCATATCCACACGGAAGCATCGCCGCGTATTATTGGGTACGTGTTTTGATCCGCGTTTTTGCCTTCAATGGTCCTTTAAAAGCGAAAAATTCGGGTTTAAAGGAACCGGCAAGGCAAAATCCATAGCTGTCTCGATTTTTTTACCTTGAATGGCCCTTTAAAACGGAAAAAAAATAGGTTTTGAAAATAACTCCATTGCTTTTTTGCCTTCAATGACCCTTTAAAAACCTAAAAATTCGATTTTAAAGGGATCGGCAAGTCGGGATCCACAGCCCCGCCCACTTTTTGAGGTCTTTAGCGGCCCTTTAAAACGTTAAAACTATTTTTAAGAGGAAATCCATAATTTTTTTTGCATTTAGCGGCCCTTAAAACTAGTAAATTTGATTTTAAAGGGATTGGCAAGGCAAAATCCGCAGCCGGGTCGATTTTTTTGCCTTCAATGGCCCTGTAAAAGCTAAAAATTTGATTCTAAGGGTTGTAGTTTATAGTCTCGCGCCAGCTTCGCCATTTTAATAAAAAATTTGCTAAAAATTCAAAAAGCAAAAAGTTGGCCGCGGACGGGAGTCGAACCCGGGCTCTTCGCCTGGCAGGCAAACGACTTACCATTCGGCCATAAGTTTAGGCCCCCATTTTTTGAATTTTGCCTTTTTTTGATCTGATGTTTTCAGGCGTTCAAGGAGCTGTACCTGGAGAAGGTGGTCAAGCAGCCGCGACGCGAGCGCAACGCCCAGCTCGACGACGACTAGAAAATGGCAAAAAAATTGATTTTTCGAGTTTTATGTATTTTTTTCGTGTTTTCGCATGCATTCCTGGCGTAATCGAATCGATCTCTTTTCATGGCGTAATCAAATTTACCTGATTTTCGTTGCGTAATCGAATAGCCCGGAATTTGCGTGGATTTTGGACTTTTCCCAATCGAATCGATCTCTTTTCGTGGCGTAATCGAATAGACCTCATTTCCTGCCGTAATCGGATCGATCTCTTTTAATGGCGTAATCGAATAGATTTATATTTCTCTCCCATTTCCCCCAGTTTTTAACTAGTCACTAGCTACCGTATCCCCCGTATTTTTCTGTTTTTGTATTGTTCTTTGTTGCCCTTTTCTCCAGTACACCTGCGATAATACCCCCGTCTTTCCCTGGCAAATATTGGTGATAAATTTTTCGAGCATTTGAAAAATCTAAAAAATGGTTTCAATCATGATTTTATCTTTTTCTTCCAAATTCCGGTCCAAAGCAGCGTGGCGTAGTGGTCCAGGGCGCTGGTTCCAGACCTAGCCGGCCCGCGGGTTCGATCCCCTGGCTTGCAGCGTGCGATTTTCGTTTTGCTTTTTGCGTCTTAAGCTTATCCTACTATATATAAAAAAATAGTGTCTGTGTGTGTGTGTGTGTATATTTGCATGCACTTCCGTTAGGATGTTCCGCTCCTACAGCCTCGGGGACGGATTTTTTGGATCGGGGAGAAACGACAATAGGTTTAGCATGGTCTGGAATCGACTGCACACACGTAAAAATTATGAAAAATTGTGATTTTCGTTATTAAAAATAGGTTTTTGTAAAACACTCTTTGTTAGGGACAATTAGCATACGCCGGATGCGGATATGGCCTATATAAAGGTGAAGAGCAGGCGTTTTTCATTTTTTCCGGACCCCATTCGGAGAGAAGCATGCAAATCGAAAACTTTCACAAGTCCCAGTTGCAAAGCCATTTTTAAAAAATTTTTCGCTATTAGAAGCAACTTTTTGTCCAATTCTCTCCCCCCCCGCCCCAGTTGGTAAGCTATTTGCATATTGCGGAAGGGTTTTGGCCATTTCTTCCTTTTTCCATACGGCTTCATGTGCTTTTAAAAATCCTCGCCGGGCGTTAATCCGGTCCGGAGTGGTCTGCCAGGTTGCTATGTAACTTTTTGGTACTGGCCTGTTAGCGGGGGTGGGAGGATCACTTTTTCTCCAGCACCATAGGGACCATACGAAGTTGCCGACGGTGATTGTCACACTATGTGATTTCCATCCGAAGATAGCACAACGAACAATTGAATTCGGAAGTGGACCGTGATAAACATCTGTATGACGGTATAAAATGAACGAGGGCGATACATTGATATGTATCGTCATCGACTCCCCGCAAGCTGAAGGCCCTTTTCGTCTGCCTCGGCCTGCTGTTCGCCGCCGCGATGGACCCGGACCCGCGGGACGACTCCAGGACGGACGGATGCCACTTCAACGACCCCCCATTCCTCGCCCCCATTCCTATATCTGTATTCACGACCCCGGCGCACGTCGACCTGGATGGGAGGTACCCTTATGGCGAAACAGGTGGCGGATCATCCCGACAGGGAGAAGTCCAAGACCCAGAAAATAATGGCAGAGGGGGAACCCGAATCTTTGGAATGGGCTCTAACAATACCGGCATAGGGGGTGAATCATCTAGCCTGAATCAGTCGCAAAATCTAGACCTATCTCTTCCTGGCACAACACTGACAGATGCAGTGGAGGAAATGGAGTTTAGCGATCCTGATATTCCGGGGCCATCCACACGGATTCGCAAGTTGTCCAAAAAGGAAAAACAAAGAAACCTGAGGGCACGTGAGACACAAGAGCAAAAAGACCAGCGATTAAGCCAAGCGCGTAGCTACAAGAAACGGACACACGAGAATCGGACAAATGCAGCGCAATCCGAAGCTACAGAACAGCAAAGTGATGAAACAACCAATTACCGTCATGGTCGTTCCCCGAAAAGGATCAAAAAACAAGGCGTGAGAGAGGGAGCAATTACTGGCAGCAGGTCGGAATCTACCGAAGACTTGGCGCAAATTCGACGTCAGCAAAATGCGTCGCTTATGGCGCAAGCTCGGAGACGTGAGACCGTCGAACAGAGCCAGGCGCGTCGCCAGAAAAACACGCAGCACATGTCACAACACAGAGCGCAAGAGACGCAAGCTCAGATCCAGGCGCGCCGTCAGACAAACACTCAGCTCATGACGCAACGAAGAGCGCTAGAGACGCAAGAACAGACCCAGGCGCGCCGTGCTGCAAACAGTAACCGAATGGCATTTCTGCGACAGGGCGAAACACCCGAGGAGAGCCAGGTACGCTTGGCGGCTGATGCAGCCAGGCACGCGCGTCGAAGAGCTCTCGAAGCACCCCAGCAACGCGATGCTCGACTGGCTGCGGCCCGAGACGTGGTCTTCCCGGTTCGAGCTGGGCAACCTCAACAACCAATTACCGCCGGAGGCATAGCCCGCTATCAAGATCAAATCCCAGATCTTCACGATTTGGGATCGATGAATCGTGAATGCTCGGAATGTAATGCTTTGCACTGGGAACAAGAAACGAATGAACGGGGAAAATACAGTCAATGCTGCCGCAAAGGCAAGGTCAAGCTGCAAATATTCATCGACTACCCTGATGAGCTAAGGCAGCTCCTCACGGGAACAGATCGGCGCGAAAAACGGTTCAGGGAGCACATCAGAAACTACAACAGTTCATTGGCCACCGCATCAATTGTCGCAAAACTCGACACCCCGCGTGGCACGGGGCCAGTCCCATACAAAGTACATGGCCAGGTCGTCCACTTGGTGGGCGGCTTAGTGCCGGATAACGGACAGATGCGTCAATGTGCGCAAGTTTTGATAATGGACACGGGAGACGCTGCCAATGAATTAGCCGGCCGTCAAATAAACCGCAAATGCGAGCGCGATATTTTTGTCGAACTGCACGACTTGCTCACCAGGGTCAATCCCTTTGCTCGCGCGTTCAAAATGATGCAGGAGGTGTACTTACAAGAACAGCAAAACGCTCAGGCAGTTGGGAGAGATATGCAGGCTGTGAAAATGGTTTTTGCACAAACCAATCATGACGACCTAAGACGCTATAATGCCGCCACAGCCAACGAAGTGGCCGCCATTTACGTCGGTACTGACGAAGAAATCCCAGGCAAGCGTCTCTTGGTGGTTCATGATCGGCAACAAGGACTGCGCAATATCAGCTACCTTGATAAAAACTGCGATCCTATGTGCTACCCCCTTCTGTTCCCTCGAGGAGACTTTGGTTGGCATCCGGCCCTTGATCGCGTACCAACTGCGGGCGCGACCCACACACGAGTCACCCAGATGGATTTTTACGCGTACCATCTATTCAAGCGGAATAACCAATTCAATCCATTGCATTGTTCGTGTAAACTATTCCAACAATGGCTGGTGGACAGCTGGGTAAAGATCGAGCAAAATCGTTTGGATTTTCTCAGGAAAGGCCAGAAACCCATGCGGTTGGACACGGTGCAAGGTCTTCGTGACCACCAAAATGATCCCAATGCCACCGGACCATCCGGACAAAGAATCATACTCTCCGCAAAACACCAAGGATCCCCCAGGAACATGAAGGCCAGCTATCAGGACGCCATGGCAATGGTCGCTCGCTATGGCAAGCCAGACCTCTTCTTGACGTTCACTGCGAACCCGAATTGGGCCGAGATTGTCAGAGAATTATACCCGGGACAAACGGCATTAGATCGCCCAGATTTGGTCGAACGGGTTTTCATGCTCAAAATGGCACAACTAGACGATGAACTGTGCAATCAGCACGTCCTCGGACGTCTGATGGCATATGTCAGCGTCATTGAGTTTCAGAAAAGGGGACTGCCACACAGGCACATGCTATTATGGCTTACACCACATTGGAAACTTCGCACAGCTGGGGATGTTGACCATCTAATCCAAGCCGAGCTTCCGGAAGACCCGAATAGCCGCCTCTACGCAATTGTCACCAAATGCATGATGCACAGAGCCTGTGGTTTGGCAAACCCAGATTCTCCCTGCATGAAAGATGGCGAGTGTTCCAAAGGATTCCCGAAGCAATACCAACAGGATACGGTGGTTTGTATGGACAGTTACCCAAAGTACCGGCGCCGAAATGATGGCCGCACGGTTATGAACGGGGGTGTTCAACTTGACAACCGGCACGTCGTCCCCTATAACCCCTATCTGCTGCAACGATTCGATGCTCATATCAATCTCGAAATCTGCGCGTGGTTCAATGTCGTGAAATACCTTTTTAAATATTGCTACAAGGGCACAGACCGCGCAAGAATCTGCCTGCAAATGGGGATAGATCGGCAAAATCCAAACGGCAACACAAATGATCCCAATAATGCAAATGAAGTGGTCGATGAGATCAAGCAGTTCATTGACGCACGCTTTGTCGGGCCCAATGAGTCGGTTCATCGCATCCTCGGGATGAAAATGGACGCAAAGAGTGACGTTGTCAAATCGTTGATCGTGCACCTTGAAGACTATCAACCAATCGTTTACGATGTCCATCGTGCCGACAATGCATTGAGAAATGCCGAACTCAAAAATACTACGCTAACTGCTTGGTTTCAAAAGAATAAAGATATTCGAGAACTGGAAGAGGAACTCGGCGCTTTGCCAGCTAATATACTTGACGCGCGTACCATCTTTTACGTCGAGATGCCCGAGTTCTATACCTTTTGCGAGTCGAATAAGAAATGGAACCAGCGCAAACGCTTGACAGACCGCACCATTGGCCGCATCCACAACGTTTCTCCAAAAGATCACGAGGCATATGCATTGAGAGTTCTACTACTATACCGAAAAGGCATTGAAGGGTTTGAAGACTTACGCACTATAAACGGCACCACTTATCGTACCTACGTGGAGGCAGCCCGGGCAGCCGGCTACCTTCAGGACGATGGCCACAACCGGCGCTCAATGCTGGAGGCCGCCAACTACCAAATGCCTGACCAGCTGCGTAGCTTCTTTGCGATGCTATTGGTGTACTGTGAAATGTCTGACGGAATACCACTCTGGCACGAATTCAAAGACGAAATGATGGCGGACTATGTCCACCGAGGATTGCCAGCTAATGTTTGTGAATCCAAGGCTTATTGGGATCTGGCTGACAAGCTTGCGTTCCAAGGGCTCGATATCAATAAAGTGCTCGGCCTCGACATCCCGCAAATCAATGGCTATGACGCTCCAATAGACCGAGAAGCTCACCGGCTAGCCGGTGAGGCTCTGTACACTCAATTGAATGACGAACAGAAGCGAGTAGCCGATGCGGTTATGGTAGCCATTGATAACCCGCAAGGGCAATGCTACTTCATTGATGGCCCAGGGGGTAGTGGGAAAACTTTTGTTTATACCTGCATAAACCATCTTGCAACCTCAAAGGGGAGAAAAGTGGATTGCGTCGCTTGGACCGGCATCGCCGCAAATTTGTTACCAGGTGGAAGAACCGTCAACGCCACTTTCAAACTAAACGTGAAACAAGACAACAAAACAAGCACAATGAAAAGGCAATCTAAAGAAGCTCGGCTTCTAGCGGCAACGGATGTGTTCATCTGGGATGAAGCTCCGATGGCTCCGAGCCATGCCTTAGAGGCAGTAGATGCTCTTCTGAAAGACATTACCCAAACCGATCAGCGCTTCGGTGGAAAAATCTTCCTGCTTGGAGGAGACTTCCGACAAGTGCTACCTGTTGTGGAACGTGGCAGCAGGGGTGACCAAGTGGCCGTGTGCCTCCGTCGATCCACTATCTGGCCGGAATTTGTACAATTCACACTCACCCGCAACATGCGCGTACAAGGCAATGAGGCTGAATGGAAAGACTGGGTACTCAAGGTTGGAAACGATGAAATCCCAAAAGATGCCGATCAAAATATTGAAGTACCGCCAGAGATCCGGAGCAACGGAGACTTGGTCCATGAGATCTTTGGGCCAATTATCCGTAATGGCGGTGAATTGGCGGATGCTGCCATCTTATGCCCAAAGAACCAACAGGCGCTGGAAACAAATAATCAAGTTCTCGAGCTTCTTCCCGGTGAACTCCATCTTGCCAGGAGCATTGATGAAGCGATCACTTCTGATCCAAGGGACGCATATCACTTCACCACTGAGCTTATGAATTCAATGACCCCTACCGGCCTCCCACCTCATGAATTATTCCTGAAAGTCGGTGCGATTGTTATGCTTCTACGTAACCTGGACGTTCAAAATGGGTTGTGTAATGGCACTCGGTTAATTGTTGAGCAGATACAAACTCGGGTCCTCCTCTGCCGTTTCGCCACGGGCTCCCGGAAGGGAAAACAAGTGCTTATTCCACGTATTGATTGTCAATACGAAAAAAATATTCCTTTTACCCTTAAACGTCGCCAATTCCCTATTCGGCCAAGCTTTGCCATGACGATCAACAAGAGCCAGGGCCAATCGTTCGAGCGGGTCGGGCTTGATCTCTCCGCGCCCATTTTCGCCCACGGGCAGGCGTACGTGGCCATCTCCCGATGCAAGTCTCGCGACGGGATGCGCATTCTGGCGGCGGGGCACAAGATGGCGAATGTGGTGTATCGCGAAGTGCTCACTGATTAGCGGCAAACGGCGTCTCGAGTCCGGATGGCCGCCTTTCATTACGGTAGCTCCCACAAATTTGCACATATTTACCTTTTTTTCTTATAGGCGCCCTCTCCCTCAATCTCTGCTCTCGAGACCTACCGTCCAGCCAGCCACTGCCCTCTACTCCCACACCTACTCCAAGCCCATTCGCCACTCCACTATTCTCGCCGCCAGTCGCGCCGCCACCAGAGACCCACGGACCCGCCCGAACGTCCACCCGCCTCTATCTATCCAAGCCCTTTCATCCTTTTACCGCTATTTTTTCCGTTCGATTCGATAAAAGCTTTGTGTGTGAATTGGCTATACTTGAATTTACGGTACAACTCGCTCCCGCCGTAGACGATTTACTAATGCTTAGACGGGGCCAGTGTTGATTCGGCGGCTACGCCGCCGAATCAACACTGGTAAATTTTTAAATGAACCAGTTTGCGCACTAACGAAACGCCTAAAAGCTAATTTTTATCCAAAAAACGCGATTTTCGTCTTTTTTGGTTTTTCGATTTTTTAGACGAATTTTTGGTGCGATTTTCTGTAGATGACCTTTTAAAAATGAGCGACGCAGAGACTGGCGCATTAATGAGAGGGTCTAAAGCTCCAAAAAAATGTGAAAATTCCAAAAATCAATTTACTTGATTTTCCCGTTTTTTTATTTTTCGTTTTTATAGCGAATTCTGGTGCTATTTTCTAGTAGCTGTAGATGAACATCAAATCGTTTATTCCGCGGGGCCCGTTAACATTAAAAAAGGCGCCAATCACAAAAGGCCGGGGGGATGGATGCCAAAAATGGGCCGCAAATTGATTGGCATTGATCGATTGGCGGCCGGGCGGAGGGAGGAGGGGCGGTAGATGAACATGTCGACGACGCGGGCGCGGGCGCGCTGGGCGTGTAGATGAACATCTAAAATTGAAAATCCAAAAATGGAAAATTTAAAAATATTTTTTTTTGCACAAAAAATAGCTTTCTATAAAAAAATCGGCAAATTTAACGATTGTACTTTGTAGTCTGGCTGCCAGTTTAGCCATTGCCGCCAAAACGTAGGTAAAAAAATTCAAAACGCAAAAATTTGTCCCCGACCGGGATTCGAACCTGGGACGTTGGCCAGGAATTTTGTTTTGTAGCCTGTAGCCTCGTAGTGAAGGCTGTAGTTTGTAGTCTGACTGCCAGTTTAGCTATCTCCATCAAAATGTGGGCCAAAAGTTCAAAAAGCAAAAACTTGGGCGCGGCCGGGGAGTCGAACCCGGGTTGGTGGCCTACAAAAATTTTTCTGTAGGCTGTAACCTCGAGATAAGGGTTGTAGTTTGTAGTCTGGCTGCCAGTGTGTAGCCGTTCCCTTCAAAATCCCCGACCTTTCAGGTGAAGCTGGCCGACACGGTCTGCTTGTGGCTGGCGGCGGCGGCTGCCTCGGCGTCGCGTGGCGGTTTCGGGCCCTCGCTAAAACATTTGTGTTTCCCAAATGGTCCCTGCTAGCTTCTCATGCGCCTAACTGGCCGGCATTTTATAGATTCCCGCTTCCGAAATTCTCTCTGCTAGCCTGCCTGGCCCTCTAGAATCGATTACGCTAGGGAATTCCGTCAAGACTGACGAAAATCAGGGTCTCTGATCGATTACGCCATCAAATTTCCTCTGCTAGCTTGCCATTCGCCTATCTGGCTTCCAATTTATTGATTCCCACTTCCCAATTGCTCTCTGCTAGCCTGCCCCCCTCCCTGATAAGAGCCCAATTCCTCCCGTACCCCGAGTCCTTGCTGCGCCGGCCAGCCGAATTCGTCTGCGTCACTTCGACGTAGCAGCTGAAAAAAGGGGGGCGTGGCCACCGTAACCCTTGAGAGGGACCGACCTCTTATTGGCTCTCGCCTCCATCATCTGCGTGTCGCCGATCCGCATCGACTCCTCCGCCTTTTTCGACATCTACAAATTGGGGGCTTTTTTGTAGTCTGTTGCTCGGATCTGAGCGTCGTAGTTTGTATTCTGGCTGCCAGTTTGGTCATTCCAATCGAAAAACTGCTTTGCTTTTCAAAAAGCAAAAAGTTTGGCCGCGGCCGGGGGTCGAACTCGGGTTGTTCGCCTACCAATTTTTCTGTAGTCTATAGCCTATTGTTAAGAGTTCTAATTTGTAGTCTGCATGCCAGTTTCGCCATTCCAATAAAAAAAACCAGTTTAGTTTTCAAAAAGCAAAAAGTTTGGCCGCGGCCGGGAATCGAACCCGGGTTGTTCGCCTAGCTATTTTTCTGTTGTCTGTAGCCTCCCGTTAAGAGTTGTATTTTGTAGTCTGGCTGCCCGCTTAGCCGTTCCCCACCGAACCTTTGCCGCTTCGCGGGTGTCATGTTCGGGCGATGCGGCCGCGTCGCGTGCCCGTTTGCGGCTCTTGCTCGATGGAGGGGCCGCTGGGGGCGGAGGCACCCCGGCCGGCGCATCCGCCGCTTTCTGAAACGTCAAGAAGTCCGGGAAATATCCGCTCATACCGTATCGGGCGATTTTTCCTTGTCCTTCTCCTTGGCTCCTGCTGCTCCTGCAGCTCCAGCTGGTGCTTCTCCTCCTTTTGCCTTTCCCTGTCTTCCGCTGTGCCCCTGCCGTTTCCGTCGCGATCCGCCCTGACGATCCTCTTTTCTGCAAACAAAAGCGATTATCGGATTCTAAAGCCCCTTCCCCCCGCTAAGAGTACCCCCATCGGATTTCCTGGCTTCCCGGTGCCTTTAATCGCCAAAAATCCGTTACAACGCTGTACTGGCTAGCAGAGATTCTTTAGGAATCATTTACGGTGGTCCAAAATGCGTTTTAAAGGACCCAGAAAGGCAAAATTTTTCTGGGGATTGTGGTCGCGATAAGCATTTTCATTGCGTAATCGATTCTCCCGCGTTGCGTGTCGCGTCGCGTATTTCATGGCGTAACGGATTGGGTGATACCTCTTGAGTGCCCCGGTATTCTTGGCCAACGGGTTCTCCTCGTGCTCCGATTCGAGATCCGTCTTTGCCTCTTCCTCGTCCGCCTTGTTTAGGCCCCATTCTAAATGAAAATCGGTCAAACTGGCAGCCAGACTACAGGCTACAATCGTTAGTTTTGGACTTCAAGTTACAGGAAAATTCTGAGGCGCACCACCCGGGTTCGATCCCCGCCGACGTCCAACTTTTTGCTTTTTGCGTTTTTTTTGCTAAAGTCTCGTGAGAATGTTTACTGGCAGCCAGACAACAAAATACAACCCCTAAAAGCTTTCTACAGTACCCCTAGACGTCACTAAGACTCCTGCGGAAAATTGGAGAAATGTAACTTTGCCAAATTGTTTTAATTGGTTTAACTTTTCGTAGTTCGTAGCTAAAACTTCAATTCTTTTTGCAATATCCAAACTAGCATCCAGACTACAAGCTACAGCTTTTACTTTCAGGCTACAAACTACAGGAAAATTCTGAGGCGCACCACCCGGGTTCGATCCCCGCCGGCGTCCAACATTTTGCTTTTTGCGTTTTTTTACTCAAATCTTGGTGAGAATTGTTAAACTGGCAGACAGACTACAAAGTACTATTCCTACGAAGTGGCCACAAACTACATAAATTTTTCTCGGCGTATTTGCCCCCAGTTTTCATCGCGTAATCGAATCCCCCGTACCTTCGGCGAGATTGTGGTCGTTCTTCTTCTTTCCCTTCCCTCCTCCTCCTCCAGCTGGTGCTCCCTCCTCTTTCGTCTCATCCTTGTCCGTCTCCTTCTCCTTTTCGGCGTCCCCAGAGGGTTGTTGCTGTACATCCTCTCCTCCTCCCTTCTCCTTCTCTCCTCCTTTTTTCTGGCTTTTCTGGCTCATCTGGCTCTTCTCCTTCACCTTCGGCTTCTCGGGCGTCTTCGCGGCCGGCCCCGCAGCCGCTACATCCTAAAAAAATGGCAATTAAACTAGAAAATTTCAAAAATCTGAATTTTTTTATATTCTTTTGTACTTTTTTTCTAGTCTCTAGTTTTGCTTTGGTGATTGCGGTTTGTCGTCTGTGTACCAGTTTAATTATTCCAGCAAAAACATCGAAAAGCAAAAAGTTTGTCGCGGCCGGGGGTCGAACCCGGGTCGTTCGCCTGGTAGCTTTTTTGGTAGTTTGTAACCTTCTAAGGCTTGAACGGTGTAGGCTGGTTGCCAGTTTAGCCATCCTAAGTAATAAATACATGAATTTTCAAAACGCTTACCCAAAAAGTTACGCACCGCCGGGGATCGAACCCGGGTCGTCGGCCTAGTAGTTTTTGTTCTACTTTGTTGCCCCTATCTCATAATTGGATTTTGCAGTCTGCCTGCCAGTTCACCCATCCCAATAAAGAAATTCAAAAAGCAAAAAGTTTGCCACGCCGGGGAGTCGAACCCGGGCCTCTCACCTGATAATCTAATCGCTTAGCCACTCAGCCAAGGTGGATTTTCGATTTTTACCTGACTGCTGGGTTCCTTTTTCGGGTTGTTGTTGTTCTTGTTGGTGGTAGGTGTGGATGGTTGGGAGGCGGACGCGGCGCGTTTCGTCGGCGTCGCGGCCGGCGGTTTGTGCTCGGAGCGCGCGGCGGCTGCGACGGCCGTCTTCTTCGCGCAACCTGCAAATTCGGGCATGCTAGCGGGGAGCGTTTGGGAATTAACTTTTTTAAATCCGAAATTTTCGATTTTTTCGCGTTAAAATTGTATTTTACAAGTAAAAAAATACAAAAAAATTCCAAATTTCCACAAAAAGTTAATTTTTGAATTTGTCGTTTTTTTAAACTAAAAATTAGCTTTAGCAAAATGTTAAAAAATACGAAAAAAACCCACCAAAAAACGCGTAGAATGCTGTAATAATGGAAAAGAAGGAGAAGTAGACGGAGAAGGGGGGCAAAAGATGGAGTAACTCAGGCATTGTGGCGCATCAAACAATCGATTGGACAGACGAGGGGAGAGAGGAAGCGAGTACGATAAATACGAAATACACCCCCTTACGCTAATTATTCCCTATTTCAATCGACTACGCGACGGAAATTGGCCGGAAGTCCGATTTTCCGGTAAATTCAAATTTTGAAAACTTCAAAAAATTCAAATTTGCAAAAATTCAAAGCCTTGAACCTGGCAGGACGCCTCCAAATTTAATCGATTACGCGATGCAAATTTGCCAAAAGTCGGGTTTTCAAAAAAAAAACGAAAAAGGACAGATTTCATTTTTCGGTTCTATACCGGTAACGGGGACTATAAAAAAGATCGGGTACTATAAAAAAGATCGGGTACTATAAAAAATATCCGGTACTATAAAAAATATCCGGTACTATAAAAAAGATCGGGTACTATAATAAGTATCGGGTACCATAGGAGATATCGTGGACCATTGGCCGGAATTGTGGACCATAGATTCCCCGAATTTTTCGTTAAGGTCCACGGTTCGAATCGTGGACTATAGAATCGGGATTTCAGCCAGATTATGGTCCCCGATTCCGACAGGCGCCAAAAGCTGGGATTTACGCAGCGCAGATGCCTAGAATCGCTGGTTAAGGTGTTTTTACGCAACTGTGTTCACAATAAATATTATTAATACTTTATTTAACCAAATTTAGACTGTTTGCCTTTGAAATGTGGTATGGTTTGAGTTTATGTTTGTTTTTGTTTAGTTTTATGGTTTGTTCGAGTTCCGGACACTTGCGCTTTTGACGAGTTTAACGTATCTTTCTAAGTTGCATGAGGTATGGCTGGTGCTGATCCACCTGAGGGTTGCAGTACATCGTTGACGGTAACGAGCTACAAGACACACCGTTTAAGAGGAAAATCTAAGCTATGCCTGAGCCTGATTAGCTCCATTGAAGCCAAGCCGAAGCCTACGAGCAGCCAAGTTAAGCCTGGCTGTAAGCTAGCCATCTATGTAGCGTAAGCCCTAGATAGCGCCTATTTGTGTTTTCAAAGCGGTTCCAAGTTACTTGGATTTGGAACTCGAACAAACCATAAAACTAAACAAAAACAAACATAAACTCAAACCATACCACATTTCAAAGGCAAACAGTCTAAATTTGGTTAAATAAAGTATTAATAATATTTATTGTGAACACAGTTGCGTAAAAACACCTTAACCAGCGATTCTAGGCATCTGCGCTGCGTAAATCCCAGCTTTTGGCGCCTGTCGGAATCGGGGACCATAATCTGGCTGAAATCCCGATTCTATAGTCCACGATTCGAACCGTGGACCTTAACGAAAAATTCGGGGAATCTATGGTCCACAATTCCGGCCAATGGTCCACGATATCTCCTATGGTACCCGATACTTATTATAGTACCCGATCTTTTTTATAGTACCGGATATTTTTTATAGTACCCGATCTTTTTTATAGTCCCTGTTACCGGTATAGAACCCATTTTTCGATATTTTCCACAACATTTTTGTTTATCTGGTCGTTTTTAATGCTAACGCCCATAAAAGAAAACCATTTGATGCTTATCTCCAAAAAGTCCCACAAAAAATTGACGCTAAAAACTGAAAAACCAAAAAAAAAACCGGAATTTTTGGAATTTCAAGGTCCAAATTCGCTTTAACAGCTTTCTTTAATGCGCCAACCCGTTTGTTTCCTAATGTCCAATATTTTCAAGCAAAACGCAAAGCGAACCACCATTTCTGCGAGCAGGGGGATTGAACCCACGGGCGGGCTAGGTCTGGAACCAGCGCCCGGGACCACTATACCACGCCTGACGCCCCTCTCTTCGGGCTCCAAATCGGCCCCCGGCCTTTTCGGTCGCGAAAAATCGTCTTTTTTGGCCTAATTTTTTACCGTTTTGGCTAGAATCTTTTGAAATAGCTATTTTTAGTGAATTTGAAAGAACTCGGAGGCTCCGGGGGGTTTTTAGAGCTGTCACTTGACTTTTCCGCCAGCTTTTTTGTTTTCTGTCTTTTCTAAGGTATCATTTATGATTGTAAAACCTCTGAAAAAGCCGCAACCGGCCGCTTCTTTTTATCGTTTTTTTTTTGCTAGATTCCTTTTTTATTTTTAAAAGTTAAACGCTCAAAAACTAAACTTCTAAACGCCAAAAATGGCTTTTCCAAATTTCGGGCCAGCTTCTTTTCTACTTCCAATTAAATTAAATGCTGGCATCATTTTTTCTGTTTTCATTCATTTTTACTATTCTTCAGTTTTCAAAAGACACTTTTCAGCAGCTCGCCGCCGGGGCCGTGACGACGATGCTGATGTGACGATGGTGACGGTTGACTGGCGGCATGCGAGGAGCGCGCGATGTGGACGATGAGGCGATCCAGGATGGCTTTTATTTGGGGTTTCCGGTTTTAAAAATGTCGAAATCGCAAAATTTTTAGATGAGAAAACTTTTATTTGGGGTTTTTGGGTTTTAAAAGTTTCAAAATTTGAAAATTGTTCGCAGTAGGGTTGTTTTTAGACACGAGCGTCCGTAGTTGTAGTGCGTACTAGCTGTAGCGGGATACGGTAGCGAGGCGAAAGCGCATTAATGGCAACGTTCGAAAAGCGGGGGCAAAAATATTTTTTAGGCGATAAATTGCTAAAAAACAATCACTTTTAATCTAGAAATCCGGAACGCGCGAAAAAAGACGAAAGTGAGGATTTTATAGCCGCTCGAACGTTTTTATCGGCAGCGTAATGAGGTGTAACGCGTACTGGGCTACGGTAGCGGCGAGAGCGCGCGCCCGGGGGCCCCTCCCCGACGCGACAGTACAGTCGACCCTGCCAATCAAGAGCGACGGCCCTCGTCCCGCCCTTTCCGGGCCTAAAAATTATGAAAAATCTGGAATAAAAAAGGCGAAAAGTAATGCCGAAAGACGTGAAACCTATCTAAAATTGATTCTATAGTGTTTTGCCATCTGACCGTGCTTCCCCCCGTAAATCCGGCCGCTAAAAAGGCAAAAAATTAAGTTTTTTGTTTTTTTTCGATTTTCAATTTTGTTTAAAATCCTTCTTTCTCCCCTGCCGCTCTTCCCAAATGCTTTTAAAAAGTTTTCGCAGCGTAAGCGGTCGTTTTGCGGCTGGAATTCGTGCGGCAAACTGATAAAAGATTGCTTTTGCTTTTTGTTGCGCCTTTTCCTGGGCTTTTCGGGCGAATTTTTTGTTTTTTTAGCCTCTCTAAAGTATCATTTTCTAGTGTAAACCTCTCGAAAAAAAATCTTTTATTGGGGGGATTTTCGCTTTTAAAAATGTCGAAATTGCGAAATTGTTAGATAAGATAACTTTTATTTGCGGGGGTTTTTGGATTTTATTGAATTGATTTTATTGAAATTGTTCGCAGCGTCCGTAGTTGTAGTGCGTACTAGCGAGGGTAGCGAGGCGAAAGCGCATTAATGGCAACTTGCGAAAAACGGGGGCAAAAATAGATTTTTTGGGCGATAAATTGCTAAAAAACAGCCATTTTTGATCGAGAAATCCGAAACGCGCGAAAAAAAGACGAAATTTCGGATTTAATAGGCGCTCGAACGTCTTTTGTGGGCGGTGTATTGAGGTGTAACGCGTACTGGGGGTACGGTAGCGGCGAGAGGGCGCGCATTAATGATAGCCGCCCACTGCGTAGGCTACGGGGGAATACAAAATACGCCTGAAAATGGGTATTTTAATATTTGGCATTTCAGGAAGAAGCGGAACGGCGTGGGCGGCAAGGACGAGGATGGCGAGGACGGCAGCGGGGCCGAATGAGGATTTTTCGCGGTTAGTCGTTACTATAAGATTCTTCCCAACTTTAGATACCGTCGAGACGGGAAGGAGAAGCGGGCAGAAGCTGAGGATGAAGCCGGGCCGAGAAGACCACGGGAAGACGGTGAACGGCGCCGACGGTGACGACCACGACGACGGTGCAACAAAGAAGCTGAAAAACAGAAATCTGGAATTGTAGGTTCTAATATTCTTTTAAAGGGACCGGGCAGTCAGATATCGATCGATGGACGGTGTCGACCAAAAATTTAAAATTTCCCAAAAAATTATGAAATTGCCTTTTGACGGATTTTATGAGATATTGAAACACAATTTTTTGCCTGAAATCTTTTTCGGTGGTCGTTTTTGCCTTTTTACAAGCAATTTAATGTCGTCGAATGCTCTTTCTTCTCCGGCACTTTAGCTATGACCGACTGGCGATCGACGAGGAACGCGGGCCGATGTCTTCAACGAGGTCGATCTCGACATCTACCGAGCCCCAGAAGATGGACGCCGAGAAGTTCAAGTATTTTGGGCCAATCGATTTTTCGAGGCTTTTTAAATGTTTATAAACCGTATTTTTGATTTTTTTGCAGATTTTTCAAAAAATTGCAGATTTTCGCTTTTTTAACAATTGATGAAACATGATTTTTTTGCAGCTGAAATTCAAAATTGATCATTTTAAAGAGCCGTTGAAGTGTGGAAAGGGGGGATGCACACACTAATAGCACAATTTCAGGTGTCGCGGCGAGGGAAAGGGGACGAGAGGGACAGTGAGAGAGATGGAGGAAGCGAGAGGGCGCGAGCCAAAATTCAAAATTGATCATTTTAAAGGAGCGTCGAAGTGTGGAAAGGGGGAAACTGGCCACACTAATAACACAATTTCAGGTGGCACGGCGAGAGAGCGAGGGCGAGAGGGACAGCGAGAGAGAGGGAGCAGCTGAGCCGGAGCGAATTAAAGGAGCACATAAGCAGGTGCGTTTCCGGTTTCTAAGGGACCGTTGAAGGCTGTTGGCCGGTGGGTTCTTGGATCCTGGCTCTGAATTCTTGTATGTTTTCTCTTTTTCAGGCACCGTACCCCTTCGGCCGGCTGAGCGGCTCGAGCAACGCGGAGGAGGAGCTGATCATCTACCGACGCCCACCAAAAACCTAAAAATTTTTTGATGCGTTTTAAGTGTCTTTATGTGTAATTAATTATTGTTTATGTTTTGTTGAATAAAGACATATTGATATTTATTGGATTTGTGTCTTTTTATTCGCCACGTACCGACAGAGATACCTCGAAATGCGTGCGCAGAGAATTGGTTCTTTAGAGAATGGATTGTGTTTAGGGGTATGCGATGGACATTGCCCGTAATACTTCTCTTTGTCGGTTTGGCGGCTGAGTGGTGGACACGGTCCGGCCCATCACTCCTGCGAATCCGCAAAACACAGGTACTGTATTTTTTAAAGGGATAGTGACACATGATTTTAGGACATCAACAAGAACACGTGCTCCACTGATCCGGAAGGAGCTTTTTACAAGAGAATGAGCATCGTGGAAGAGAAGGATAAGGTTGGTGATCAGTTTAAAGGGATAGTGACACATGATTTTAGGACATCAACGAGAACACGTGCTCCGCTGATCCTGAAGGAGATTTCCACAAGAGAATGAGCATCGTGGAAGAGAAGGATTAGGTTGGTTGGAGTTTAAAGGGATAGTGACACATGATTTTAGGATTCTGCAATGAACACATGCCCAGCTGATACGGAAGCAACTCATGGCCAATCGATCGTGATGCTGGAGGACAAGAACAAGGTTGGTGATCAGTTTAAAGGGACAGTGACACTTAATTTTAGGCCAACAAGTTGATCATCTTCGACACATTTCATGAACGGATTCTCCGTTGGCTCCCGGTGCGTTATGCGAGGCAACCATTCTACGATATATTTTATTTTAGGAGATGCCGCCCGTGATGGTGGCCGCAGCCGACGCAGTGATGCGTGACACGCTCCCGGATTCCGAAGTGGTGCCCGAAATTGATATTGAAGAGGTATACCCCTCTTGGAAATGTCTGAAAAGGATCTGCGTTTAGAACGGAGTTTTCGTCGTATGGGACGATTATACCACGAGCCAAGAGCAGGTACTTTGAATTTTAAGGCAGGGTGATTTCTCATTTCAGCATGCGCGCCACCTGTTGGAAGTCCAGCGCCGCCACATGGAAGAGGTACTGTAATTCTATTGTCAATTCACCTGGGCTCGAACCGATTCTATTTTTTTGTTGTAGATGTACGTAGAAATCGAAAGGGCACTGCAAAAGGGAAAAGCGCATGGCATCCCGGACGCGGTAGGTAAATTACTGGATTATTCTCATGACCTTTGGTTGTAAAATAACGTCTCCATTTAGTATTTGCTCCCGCTCCAAGCCGCCCTCCGGGAGGCTCGACACCCCACTCCACCGCCGACATTTTGCGAGCGCTTGATCCAATCCATCAATGCGGCTTGGAACAGTGTTGACGTAAGTATCTCTGTCTTTCTCTCGCTGTCTCTCTACTTCTGTATCTCGCTCTCGCTCTCTCTCTGTCTGACTCTCTCTCTCTCTCTCTCTCTCTCTCTGTCTCTCTCTCTCTCTTCTTATTTGTTGTTCAATTCTTATTTTTTCTGATTTCCGGAATTTTTCTGGCATTGAGACCCATTTTTCAAAACACGATTTTTTGGGGGTTTTAAATGATCTTAATGAAGATTTTCTGTATAAAATTCTGTAAATTTTTCTGTAGATTTTTTTCGAAAAAGTTTGGTTTTTTGTTTGAAAATGGCCAAAAACCTCCAGAATTTTGAAACTTCAAAAATTTGGTAGATTTTTTAAACTTTTTTTTGGCAATCACTACGAATATTTTCAGGAAGAAGCCGCACGACGAGTTCAACAAGGGCAACGACAGCGACGGCGTCAGCGAGACGAAATGAGGATTTATCGCGGTTAGTCGTTACTATGCGGCGCTTCCCCGCCCGCGGGACCCCGAGCATGAAGAAGGAGAGGAAGCACGGCGAGAGAGCGAGAGGGACAGCGAGGGAGATGGAGCGACGGCGAGAGAGCACAAGAGAAAGAGGGACAGCGAGAGGGAGGAGCGGCAGAAAGGAAACGCCACGGTATACCCGGCCATCTGAACGTCTTGAAGACGTTGTGCACTACAGCGGCGCGACGAGTTCAACAAAGTCGACGACGTCAGCGAGGCGAAATGAGGATTTCTAGCGGTTAGTCGTTACTATAAGGTTCTTCATGAAGTCTGAATTTTAGGTGAAGACCGAGATGGTGGTCGCACCAGTCGCTGCTCAAGAACAAGCACAGCGTCATCAAGGAGGACACATGGTACTGTAGGCAATTTTGATTTTTATTTAATTTTATTTAAAGGTATTGGCTAGTCTGAATTTTAGGAGAACCCGGATATGGTGGCCGGACAAGTCTCTGATCTCTGATCAACTACCTGCACAGCATCATCATGAAGAAGGGCAGAAGGTACTGTAGACAATTTTAAAGGGATTCACAAGTCTCGATTTTAGGCAGCCAGCGGCGGGGAAGGAATGACGAAAGAAGTTTCTCATCCGCTACCGAAACATGATACCAACTGGGCCAAAAAGGTACTGTAGACAATTTTAAAGGGATTCACAAGTCTCAATTTTAGGAAGCCTGCGGAAAAGTGCCCAAGGATGCAGCTGTGCCGAAGTCACAACGGTCCCATCACGATCACTGGCAATTTATTCATCCTAGCCGTACGTTTCTGGTTCAATCTAAGTATGCCCGCGATTTTCCAGTCATTCTGTGTATTGATCTTTTGGCGCTGGTGCCGTGCTGCCATTCTGCGCTGGCTAAGCACCCGTACCTGGTGGCCTCATGAGTTGTGAGCGCTTCTATATGTGTTATGTGTGTGTTTTTTATCATAAATAGTTGACCTGACACTAGAAACTTCCGTAAATGGCGCTTATTCAGCCGCGTTTACATTGATTTTATGGCTGTCGCAAAAAGAAACAATAAATCGGGGAAAAAGAACCCAGCTGCAGACATCACAGCCGTGCCGCCCAATACAGAAATACAATGAAAACGTAGCTGACAAGGAGGGACAATCGAACATTGGCGGCCATTGCCTCGAACAGCACCTTGAACTCGTCTTTCAGTTTTTCGGGTTCAGGCACTTTGACGGGTTCCTCCGGATTGCGCAGACACTCGCAGTTCTTGCCGCCGAAATGGACGTTGCGTGGTGGCGGTATCGTCATAATCACTGAAAAAGACAAGGCTCCAACAACCTCCAGAAAGCTCAGAATTATCGCCCATCGCCAAACTATGTTTCTAGCTGTTCTTTGCGGCAAGGAAAACATCGCAAAACGATGTCAGAAAGGGTTTTGAAAAGGTGTTTTTCTTGGTTCCACCTTCCTGCGCCCATATCTTCGCTCAGAACCCTCGGATTCGTGCGCCGAGCCCCGCAAAATGTTCCCCTCGCCCCAAGCTATTTTTTTAAATATATTTTTTGCAGCGAAATAATAACAGGAAACGTTTTAAAATCGCCCGCGGGGATTTTGGTAGCGGCGCGAGAGGCGGGTCCCTTTTCCCGTCGTAAGTGTACGGGGGAGCGTGGCGTCGCTCTCGCCACAAGAGCTGAATACCCGCCAGCCAAATCCATTTTATAAAAAGGGATTTACGATTATTGTTTGGTACAAAAAATACATGGAAAAATAGCTTAGGGCGCGGCGGACATTTTGCGTTGCACGGCGCATTAATAGGCGACGATTCGGCGGAGATATGGCCTTTTTAGCGTTTACACTCTTTTCGAAAGCGTGGGAGACCCTTTTATATCATTTGAAGCTATTTATAGTTGTAGAAAATGGCTATGAACGTAGTTTGGAAGGGTGCTAAATTTTTTGGAGACTGTTGAAAGCAGGGCGCCGACTTTCGACCGCGATTTTTGGATAAAAACCGCAAAATGTACCGCTTTGCACATTTTTGACTCCCCGGATTTAACTAACCGCAAAAGAGGACGAGTGCCATGGTGGCGAGCATCGCGATGAACGATTCAGCTTTGCCGATGTAGAGCGGAAATGGGTGGAGGCGCCAGAATTCTGCCAGCGCCGCTTTCGACACTTTCCCGGAGTCGGGAGGCGACAGCTGCAAATGATGAGGGGGTGGTGTATAAGAATGGTGGAAGCGCTAAACTGGCTGCCAGACTACAGACTGCAAAGGTTATAATTTGACTACAGACTACGGTGCTGCTTTGGCAACATGGTTCTACCGGATTTTCGCAGGGATTTTTCCAAAAGTCCAGGATTGTTTATTGGCAAAATAGGAAGTCTTCTCAAAGTGTTTTTTTCGTAAAATTTAACAACATTTCACGTCGAAAACCTTCTAAAAACGTAATAAACCATTTTAAGACGCCATTTCGGTCGAAAATCGGCCATTGTTGCTCGAAAAATCGATGTTTTTGGGTTTTTTTTAGGAAAATTAGTGGAGGTTTTCTTTCTTCGTTTAGAAATGGCAGAAAATTTCTAGCAAATCTGCTGTTTCGAAAAATCGGATCCCTAGAAAAAGTAGCTCCCCCCCCGATAATGCGAAAGCACCGGAATCGCTAGGCTGGCGGCCAGGCTGCAACTTGAAAACAACATGCCCCCGAGTTGCACTGACCTGCTCGATGACGCCGGCCGCCTTGAGAACAAGAAGTATTGGGGGGTGGAGAAAGAGAGGAACCATCCAAAGGAACCACTTTTCGGTTAATTCCGCAAGCTCTTGCCGCCGTCTCTACGCAACTCTCTGAAAAGGCTTTTGGTTGTCGAAATTCTCTCTCTCTCTCTCTCTCTCTCTCTCTCTCTCTCTCTCTCCCTTACCATAGATCGGCAAAAATATGCGTTTGCTTCCAAGCGCGTTCGATATTGGAATCGTCTCAACCATCCGTCGAGAGGACGCCTGAAAATGGAATATTAGAGAGAGAGAGAGAGAGAGAGACAGAGAGAGAGAGCTACATCCAACCTACCACCATCTTTTCGGTATCCACTCAATATCAATCGATTGCCGTCGTGGTCCAACAGAATCTGGGCGCCGTTTTTTCTTTTCCCTTTTCTTTGATTTGTTGTTGGTGATGGCATCCTAGCAGAGATCGTTTGCCCCCTTAATCCCTCTGAAAACCTACATTTCGTGGCAGAGACAGTGAACGGCTTCGTGTCGTCGTCATTTTCCACGATATTTCGGGTCGAATTTCTATTTCTTGGAGGGGGGGGGGGCATCAATGGGGCGTCTCAGATGGTTATATGTGACATTAGGCAGGCCAGATGCCCTGAGGGGAGGGGGCAGCTGCTAGATGACGCTTCTTTCTCTCCCCTCCCCGGCCCTTGGCTCGATCCGGGATCCCGCCAATTCTCGGCGCATCTTTATTTTAGCAGCTCTTTTGATTGGAATAGCCAAACTGACACCCAGACCACAAAATACAACCTTTAATTCGAGGCTACCAGCCTTTTAAAATTAGTACGCAAACGACCCGGGTTCGAATGCCGCCCCGGCCCAACTTTTTGCGTTTTGAATTTGAAGTCGGTTTTCCTGTTGGGATCGCGAAACTGGCGGCCAGGTGCTCAAAAAATCGATTTAAAACACCTACAGTACCCCCCAGGCGTCCAAAACGTCGATTTGGGAAGCGTGCCAAAGTTTGGTTTTTTGGATTTCCATCTTTCAGCAGATTGTTATTATTATTTTTAGGGATTTTTATGGGTGGAAAGTGGGAACGGCAACGCTCGACATCACCCAAATGGAAACCGCGGCCGTGGGCGGTGGCAAAGGTACGTTTGGCACCAAATTACGCCCCCCGTTTCCACCCGGGGGTACGGTAGCTTTGCGCTGATGCTCGCCTATCTTTCTTGCCCGTTCTTCTAGAATCCCAGTTTTTTTCGGGATTCGCTAAACTGGCATTCAGACTACAAAATACGGCCGTTCCGATGCGGCTACAAACTACAGAAAAATCACTAGGCGAACGACGGGGGTTCGAACCACCGCCGGGTGTTAACTTTTTGCTTTTTGAAGTTTGAGCTCGAATTTTGATGGGGATGCAGAAACTGGCAGCCAGACTACAAAATACAATGCAATTTAGGCGGTGGTGGAAAAGAAGCCGCGGATACGAAGTGCTTCATTGGGGCCACGGGAGAAGAAGAATTACGAGTGGAATGTTAGAAGGATGACGACGAGAATACCGTAAGAAAAAAGAGAGAGAGAGAGAGAGAGAGAGAGAGAGAGAGAGAGAGAGAGAGAGAGAGAGAGAGAGAGAGAGAGAGAGAGAGAGAGAGAGAGAGAGAAAGAGAGAGAGAGAGGGTGAGAGTGAGCGTATTTCTCGATATTTCAGTATGTGGTGGCCCTTCTACCGTACCCTCTGCCGTCATATCTATCGCCGTGACCTTATAGGGAATACTTTTCTATGCAAATCACGGGTATATATTTTAATGCTATTTCATCAATTAATTCATAATATAGTTTTTCATTTATTCAGTTTTTGGCACTTTTTCCCCCGGCTCTTTTAGATGTCTTTTTCTAGGCGCAAATCTACTATTGGCAATCGACGGCAGCCATTATTTTATGGGCGTCGATGCATTTATTCATCTTCTATTCCTTCCATCAACTAATAATATCCCAGCTACAGTACACCGCCCATTTCATCCATTCGGTACGGTGAGCCGCTTTTCCTTAACGCGCCTTTTTACGGCCCCGGTGTGCTGTAGACCATTTTGAAAGTATTTTTGCACTTTCTGAATGGCAGCCAGTGTCTCGCCATCAACTCGACCTCCCAAAATCCAAAAAGCAAAAACAACTGGCGCCGGCGGGGTTCGAACCCGGGTCGTTCGCCTGATATGTTTTTGGAGGCTGTAGTCTTTTGGGCACCGTTGTAGCTTGTAGTCTGGGCGACAGTTGAGGTGCTGAGAAAATATTGGCCATCTGGACGACACGGTGACAAAGTTGAGTCAAAATTATGCAAGCAGCCGGGGGCATTACGACATGTAATTCGTCCACCGGGAACCGGGAATTTCAGGTGTCATTGGATTTTGAGGGGGAAAGCTTGGAACCATGGTGGCCGTACCGGGTGCACATTATCGAGGCGGCCATCGGATGGGCGAGTGGAGTTGTGGGCGCATTAATGGGAGGTCAGTTGCCCCCCCGATAATGGCAAAGAACCAAGTCCAAGAACAGTTTTTTGAGCACCACTAACTGAGCCCGAGGTGGCAGCTATCATCTGCTAAAAAAACGAAGATTAAAATTTATACAAGTAAATTCGTGTGTGACAGATTTTCCGATTTTTGATTGTTTATGACAAAACTATTTTGTTTAACATTATTTTTTGGCGGAAACTCAAACCAGGCGGAGATTTTTTGCCGCTCTATCAAATGGCGTCTTTAAAATCGGGAAAAAGCGTGAAAACATCGAAAATTCGCGAATTTAGCCGAAATTTTGGGGTTGCTAGTGGTGGAAATGCAATATATAGCATTCATTCTTTCATTTTCATCAATAATTTTATAGGGTTGTATTTTTATTTCGATGGAAATGATTTTAGGCGTCTGCTACTTTCCTTTGCCGGAACCGGGTGGCGATTATGCAGAGCACGTATCCCCCGAATGTTGCGTCGATCAAATGGAATTTTATGAAAAGGTGAATAGAGCTCTCTCTCTCTCTCTCTCTCTCTCTCTCTCTGTCCCTCTCTCTCTCTCTGTATCTCTCTCTCTCTCCGTCTCTCTGTCTCTCCGTCTCTCTCGCTCTCTCTCTCTCCTTCTCTCGCTCTTTCTCTCTCCTTCTCTCGCTATCTCTCTCTCCGTCTCTCTATCTCTCACTCTCTCACTCTCTATCTCTCCCTCTCTCTCACTCTTTCTCTCTCTCTCTCCCTCTCTTTCTACCCTCTCTTACAGTGTGAAAAGGACGGTTCTCTAGCAGACACCATGAAACCGTTGTGGGTCTTATTTTTTGGCCCGTGGCTGAGACGTGAATGGAATCGACAGAAGACGTATGAATGTCTCGAACAGGTATTTCCATTTTGCCAAAATGCTCCGACCCTTTCCAGGTTTGAAAAGGCCTTTAAAGGCCTCTGGGAGGCTGGGGTACCCGGCCACAGGGATTGCGGCTGGCCGCAGAGCGCCGACACGCCGCCGGCGTACTTAGGCGCGCCGCGTTGGGGAAGGGGGTGCTGCGGCAGAACACCCCCCCCCCCCGCCTTTCAGAACATTCCAAAATCTCTTCTAGAACAGCGCCGCAGGCAAAAAACTTGCTAAAAACGCTTTGGTTGGTAGGAAAACCGCACAGAAAACGCGCCGCAGATCAAAATTTTTTTGAACACGTTTTATGCACTACGAGAAACGAGCGCCGCAAGCGAAAAATTTTAGAAAAAAAAACGGATTTCTTAGCAGTTTAAATAGTTTTAAAAACAGTGATAAACAGCGCCCAGGCAGAAAAATTTTTATGAAAAAAAATCATAAGGGTTTGCTTAGGCTTAGGCCTCATGAGATTAGCCACTCCTGACAATTTTCAGCGGCACATCTACGGGGAATGGCTGTTTGGCCTTCATATGGGTGGCTGCCTCTCTACATTCATAACTGGACCATTTTGGGTGTTGAGAATTGGTCCAATTATTTGGACCACTGATGTTGAGGATTCTCTTCGGATGCCAAGGTTTTCGGTGAGTAATCGAGAGAGAGAGAGAGTGAGACACAGAGAGAGAGAGACAGAGAGAGTGAGAGTGCTTTCCAGGATGCCGTCGACGCCTTCAATTTCCTCGACTGGATGATGCTCGCTTTACAAATAATATTCTATACTGGCCTGATTGGTGGGAGATTTTATATTTATGTCTCGCCCTCCCTCTCTCTCCCTTTCTTGCTGTCTCTCTCTGTCTCTGTCTCTCTTGCTCTCCCTCCTTTCTCCCTCTCGCTTTCTCTCCCTTTCTCCCTCTCTCTTTCTCTCTTTCTCTCCCTTTCTCCCTCTCTCTTTCTCTCCCTTTCTCGCTGTCTCTCTCCCTTTCTCGCTGTCTCTCTCTCTCT